TTTAAATTCACATGTTCCTTTGATAGGTCAACTCTTTCCTTCTTAGAGTTACTTCTCCTTTCATACTTAAGCTTTTCTCCTTCAGACAAGTCAGGTGATTAGATTAAGCTACCATCTTAGCTGCTGACAAACATCTTGAAAACTCCAAAACAGGACCAAATTGCAGCACAGAGATAATAAATGCTAAAATCTGTAGATCTGTGTATTTGCATCATTGTTACTTATGCAAATCAGATCCATAATCCAAGAAAGGCAATTGCATTAGGTTTATTAGTAAATTGAACAATATTCATATACTTGGAACGAGTTTTATTTTACATCTAGATGTCTAACTTTTTTTTTTTTTCCTTCAATCTGCCCTTAATGTGCTGTGTGGTATCATCTGTTTAACTGATAACTGCCATCTCCCTCAAAAGCATACCTTTGTCGAGGAAACTTTAATAAAGCGACTAAAGCTTTAATTCTTCCAATGGAACCTGAAGTTGTATACGCTGATTCTCAAATCCCTCCACTTGTTTCTTACATTAAGATTTCTCTTGAAGTGGTCAGTCCACTGGCATCTATTCCAAATTAAGTCTTCACACTCAGGTTTGACTAAATGCGACTTTATAAGCTGTTGAAAGAATTATTTTGTTAAACAGATGCTAGCTAGTTTCAAAAGGTTTCATAAGTCAGTTTCCACTTGTAAAATCAAATTCTTTTTATTTTACTTTTAAATACTCTGCGTGACCCCTTATATAAATACTCCTTGTTGTCAACCAAAGACCAGGTTAGAATATACCAAGTGTAATCACTGTGCCGCTCTATTACAACAAAAGCATATTTACTGCCAACAATGAAATAAAGATATGGGTACATTGATTGTTAAAGCTGAATCAATTTATCCCCTCCTTCAGCTTCACAATTAATCCCCTCTAAAACTATTTATATCTCTTACTACTAAGCCACTCCATATTCGGTATCTATAACAAACCAAACATTCTTGCAGACTCTGTGAGTGTTGAGAAAATGGTTAACATGATGGTGAAAGGTGTAATGTTGTTTTGATGGGTATAGTTCAAATTAACCCAGGAAACATAGAAACTTACAAACTTTGGGGTTTTTCTTTCTTTTTTGGGGAAGAGAAGTGTATTTCAGATTTCTTGTTGCAAAAAAATAAAAAAATAAGAAAATCACATAACAGCTGGGGGTGGAAGATACCTGTTGAGATTGCACAGTCCAACCAGTCAGCTAGAGCATGTTGTTCAGGACCATGTCAACTCAGGTTGGTAATATCTACAAGGATGGAGATTCCACAGTCTGAGTGTTTAAGAGTGTTGGGTGGTGGTATTTGCTGCTTTTAAAAGTTCACTTCAGTAGTTTTAGTCATTGGTTTATTGTAATTCTGTATAGAATGACTGGTAGTATAAACTTAATGAATATAGGGTCCTTTTAAGAGGAACAAGTCTGAACTAAAACCAATTAAAATTTCTATTGAAAGAGATCCTAAAAATCCCTCTTAACAGTTAACGTAAAATGGACCAGGCTCATGTAGTAAGTTAGTAAAGAAGCTGATTGTATTCTCAAAATACAACATTTCAGCATGTGAAGACTTACTAGTCTCCAGATTGGACAGTAATTCAATGAAAATTATCACAGTAAAATACTCCCTAAAAAAAGCCCACATTGCAGTGAAATTGTTAGCCCCACCCTGGGAAGAACCACATATACCCATTATCTATTCTATAAGTTCTCATGTCTTTCTCTTTTTTTTTTAAGGCATTAGATAGTTCTAAAATCATAAGCAAAAGCATATTAACGTGTTTTTTACATGAAACAGTTTGATTTTATGATTTTCTGCTACCATCCTTCAAAAGCGTTACTAGGTTGAGATAGATCAACATTGAGGAAAGACATACCGTTCCCTACCTCGGAAGCAACTGAGCATACCGAGGAAGGGATGGCATGATAGAAAGGACTGACAAAGTTTCAGAAAGGAGGCTACAGCTCAAGCAAGAGAGTAAGAAAACAACTGCAAGGACTAAAGATGCATCCAGGCCTCATAAAAAAAAAAAAACAAAAAAAACCAAAAAAACCCAAACAAACCCAAAACAAAACAAACTTAAAAATGCTTTTGAAGAGCCAGAGAAACCTACGGTGAGCCAGAAAGCAATGGAGTAACTGAAGCAAAGCAAGGACCCAGGCCCAACCGAAATGCTTGCAGTTCTAATTAACAAGCTAGCATTCCATGTCTTACATTCAGTAAAACTTGGCTTTTGAGACAGCAAAAACTTCTGGGAGCTTATTGTAAGGAAAGGTCTAGGAAGATCCCAACAGTTCGGCCAACTTGCGTGCTCAGTAATACTGAAACTCTAGAGCTTCACAGAAACATAAAATCTTAATGGTATGGGAAATCACTTTGTTGCCAGACAATTAAAAAACAAAACAACCAACCAATGAAACAAAAGCCAAAATCTTTGAAAAGGTCTTCAACTATGTGCTGCAATGTAAAGTGGAAATTCACAGTCCCTCAGCCAGCACTTCAGGAAGATGCACCAGCTTAAGCAAAAGAGCAGAAAGAGAACCAGAAAAGAAAGTTGCCGAAGTCAGAGAGCAAAGCCCAGGTACAGCACACGGCAACTGCAGCCAGAGAGAATGCAGCAATGCAAAAGGCTGGATAAAAACCGAGAGCAAAGACACAAGGTAAAACGGAATGGAACACTGGAGGAAAGTACAGGACAAGCACTGGAAACCTATTGGTCCCGAACATCTATCTTCATTTAGCAAGAAATGGAATTCCTTAGCGAATGATCTCTCTCATGTTCTCTCGAGTGCTTGATCCAAGTGGTAAAGCAAGTCGGTCATTACTTCTTCAGCCGGAATTTTAGTGCCATCTACCAGTTCAAATTCAGCTAGCAACCCAAACTGCAAAGACATGCATTTCAAGATAAAAAAATTGTTCTACAGAAGCCTACTACTACTTCAGACTATTTTAAATAGGAAGCTACTTCATTGCACCTAGTGACATATAAAGTGCGAAGATAAAATATCCACTGTTTACGATTCAAGTCAGAAAGTTTACAAATAAAAAAGAGGAAGTACAGAATTGAATCAAGCAGAGGACTGGAGTGAGAAATGTGTCATCAGAACTGCTTTAAGTGCCAATACTCCACCTCAAAATAGGCACATGGTCCCATCTAAACATGCCCTGAGAGTAGACCAAAATGAAATCCATTTTCAACTATGAATTAAGAGGTAGTACACATACAACTATCCCTTAAATGCCAGAAACGAAACTGAAAGAAAGACTGGGTTGTAGAAAGCTCTTCTGCAGTATGCTAGTACTGCAATAAACAACATTTCAAATCATAGCAGAAATAATTGCATATAAAAATTTATTGTCTTTTTTTTAAAATACAGGCTTGAAATACATACAACCTAGACAGCTAATTTAGTTAATGTTGAGCAGAACTTTCTAGAAAATAGGTGCTATCACAGAATTAAAGGTTGTACCACATTGTTTCCACTGTAGCAAGCCAGATTAATAGCCATGTCCGTACAGCAGCAATAAAACCATGTCTGCAGATGCTCTCTAAAAGGTCTGTGTTTGGCAGCTTACTTTCAAATACCTTAAGCTTTCTAGCTTTGCTGAGATCATAGGTACAGGTTAAGAGTACATTTATAGAATCCACCAGCCCTTAAGTATAAAGACAGTTTAAAAAAATCCAGGCCTAGTTCTCATGATTGCTCCACTTACTGAATAGATCTATGCAAGAATATTGCCATTTTTATTCATTGAGTTTTTAATCTATAGCTATTATCTGGTACAAAATTAAATTTAAAAAAAAACCAGAAATCATTCTTTCCAAGTGAAGTAAGTTGAAAAGAGCAAATTTTCACAAGTAAGTATTTGCAAGGACACTTTCTATCTTGTTTGAAAGCCAAAGACGGACAGCAAGAGCTGTTAGTTCACCGATCACTGAACTCAAATCTGTTTGCTCATGTAGTCCTTGACCCAGACACTTATGTATATGCCTGGTCTTAAGAATGGAACTTGTCTCAGTGAAGTTTGTGGGATTATTCATACCATTAAGAACTAGGCATATACTTTAAATGTGCTTAAATGTCTTGCTAAACTGCAGGCTAAGAGTCTTCAGGAAAAGAAACTGCAACAAAAATATTTTATCGGAAGTGACTTGTAGCTTAATGAGGTGGCATTCTTCCAGTGGAGCAACTATAAACTCAAATACGGAAAGCTAATTACTTTGATATAAGCTTCTGACATACAATGCTGTCTAAAACCAGCGTGCTGTTCCTCCTGGAGAAGTCTTTAAGCTACAGCGATACAACCAAAACCATATACATACATATGACAGGTGAATAATATTTTCCATTTTTAAAGTGCAGATTTTCATTTACAGTATAAGCCACAACATTCCAAAGTAAGTATTTCCAGACAACAGCCGCCTGAATACACATTCATTCTTCGGTTGGTCCAGTGCAGTATTTTCTAATACTGAACAGACAAGAAAGAAATTATAGTAGCTAAATTGTGTACACTTCTTTCTTAATTTAAAGAGAATGCTGCCTAAAATAGAAGGAGTTTTTAATCAGTTTCAATCGGTAACAGAAGTACTTTATTTTGCAAAACTCTAGAACCACGATTACTACAACCTGTCTGTAAACCATAAACTTAGAGTGCAAGTCAGATAACCCCTTTATTTTAGAGCCCATTTACAAAAACTCCTGACACGAAGAGTAGAAAGGAAAATTTCAGAGTGGAAAAACATTTTAGCAAAAGGTGCAATTTGTAAACTTAAACACATATTTTAGAATAATAAAATCTATAGTTTTAGAAAGAGGCATAGCTTCTTAAAATAAAGTGTTTATGGCTGTTAACTTTGAAGGAAGCCCTCAGGTATTTTATCTTTACTTTCTGCACAATGTTTCCATGTGCTGCTTCTAATCAATTTTAGTGATAAAATTGCATACCAAAGGTCAAACCCGATAAATCCTGTCAATCAAGATAGCATTTGCGGTTTCTTCAACTGCAATGACGCTTGTTTCACCAGCTTGTGTTGTTTTCTTGTTGCCTGGGCTTCCTGAATGGCACAACAAATCCGCTGTAAAGCAACATATTGAAAAAAAAGAAAATGAAAGCACGCAATCTGCAGTTTTCTTCCGTAAGATGCTACTAAAAATAGTTCATTTAACAAACATTAAAACCTATATACACACTGGCTAGTTTATGAGCCTTAAGGTAGATACATAGCTTCTGATTCACGTGCATAATATTCAGCCCAGAAAAGGCTTCAGTGATATTGTCAACCTACTCCACATTTTCAAGTTGATGATGTGATTCACACTTAACTAGATAAACCCTCCTCAGGTAGCACCCCAATACAGGTGATCTAATTTTAAATAAGCAAATGAAATTTCCAATACTATAAGCTCTGAAGGCTTTCGAATTCAGGCCATTTAAAGATCCAGCATTCAACTCCTGTCCCATCAGCCTACACAGCTGGGAACTACCGCCTGGATTATTAACACATAAACACTGTAAAACAGCAGTTAGCATTTAAATAGCCATTTCACATAAGTAACATTCAGTAACACAAATTTAAGGATGCATTCCTTCTGTCTTTGCTGAATTTTCAATATTATGGGATCAAAGGTCTCAAATAAATATACTGATCAAGTACTGCAACATACTAGATCGATTAATCGGCACACATCAACTCTTGACATCCTCTGTTCCTGCTGCTGCACATTTTTTAGCAAAAGTATAAATGCTGTAAGTGTAAGGTCTTTTAAAGAAAATTTATTATCAGATCAAATTAAGAACTTTTCTCTCTTCTAAAATTGATAGAAAAGTCTTGAAAGTCTACAACTACAAGATTCAGTCTGAAGTGAAGTGCCTCAGAAGAGGACTACGTTGAGTCCAAACAAGCAAGAGGTTTGCATTATCTGGAAATTTAAGTGAATCATTCACGATAATTAAATGAAGACATGAATGACAGCAGGCGTTTTTGAAAATATTTACAATTAAAAGCACTCGCAAACTGGATAGTTAGTTGAAATCAACAAAATGATAAATTAAAATAGAGCGTAACAATAATTCTCGAATTAGGAACAACTTAACTGAACAAAGCAGTGCAACTAAACCTGTCATTTTTATTTCATTCCTGAATCCAAACAATCTAATAGTTAAATCAACCTCACGTCTCAACTATCTAACATTAAACGTATTGTACATTATGCATAAAATGGGCATACATAATATTAACACAGGGATATATCTCTAGTCTGAGAGAATAAACATCAATGTGACATGTGTCAATACCTAGGGGAAAAAAACCAAGCAAAACATACTGGGGTAGCTGGGATGGTCGCTCCGATTTTACTTGAGTAATTCCAGGATTTAGTGAAAGCTGAAGTATTTGAAATGCTTGTGAGGGCTTTTTTTCAATAAAAGTAAACGTAATTTATACAACAATGACTACTAAAATAAGCAATAACTTAAATTGGATGGACAAATACCATGCATCAGGTGTACTCAAAGTATTTCAAGCATTTATGGATTTCTGATAACCCATGGAGGCTGGGGAAAGACTCAGAGGACTAGAGAGGGACAAACCTAAACCCCTTGTTTGTTTTTTAGGGGAGACAGAAAGAACAAGGAGGCTACAAGATAACCTTAACCTGACCTTAAAAGACATTTGTTTCAGGCACATACAAAGGGCACCACAGAAGTCCTCACAGAAGTGAATTATTTGTGAAGCGTACTTTTTTTTGTCTTCCTATCAAATTGGTATAGCTTTACAAGTGGGATCTATGCAACAAGGCGAGATGCAAAATGAAGAGTAATACTGATAAACTCAAGAAACAGAAATCTACAGAAGGTAAATGGGTAGTGCTGCACTTCAGGACAGAAAAATTCATTTTCAATATATACATACCAGCATAAACACTAGCAAAGGAGCGTGCAGTTAGGCAATAGCAGAAAAAAAAGATAATTAAACACAAAGTATCCTTCTAGGGTAGCCTTTGTGCTTTGTACAATGTTCCAGCTTTGGCCATGACACTAAGATACAGAAAAAACTGTAAGGATTTAAATTGGTTAACTAAAAGTGTGATTTGGAAGACATGCTGTAAGAAAAAGCTGAAGGAACTTTTTCTTTAGACAGCAGACAGTGAAGAAATAATATAGACTTCTAGTAGATCAAAAAAAGTGCCTCAAAACAACAGCAATTTTTTTCCCTTCCTAGTCTAACCCATTTTAGAAGGCTTGATCAATTTAATAGAAGCAATTTGGCACCTTTTCTGATTCTAACTGCTGACTTGCCATATACTAGAGCTCCAGTTTCAAGCACGCTTCCAAGATGCTGTGGATCTAATTGATTGCACTTTTGGTATCAGGGTGATGATCTCTCATCATCTGATACAAAACTACAGTAAGACACATGGTTTCCTAGGTAAATTTTTCTATTGTTGAAGCACCCTGGAATTTATACAAAATTCTTAGTTCAGCTTATACAAGTTAGCTATGAGACCCAACCATTCAACAGAATAAAAGCTTCCAAAATAAATCAGCCTCTCCATCTTCAATATGAACATTTAGAGAAAAATGGTAGAAAACCCAGGTGCAGGGAGGGGGGGAAGAATCTAAGTAAGCTTTTTCACACAAGGTACACTTCTTGAAATAGTCCAGTGATCTTGAAACAATGAGGAAGTAGCAACATTCAGAGGTATGTTGAATCCTGCAGACTATAATGTACTTAGCCTAGTACTTCAGATATTTGAATTATTTTCCTTTAATGAGTTTTAATATACAAAACATAAGACCATGCAACCTCAACCTTAAATTACTGCTGTGTTTTGTCCCTGGAATGCTTTAGACGATCTTGTCTCATTCTCCTGGTTAAACACATTTTTCAACATTCAATATCATAAACCGTCCTCAGGCACAGCAGTCTATTCTAGACTGAGCCTCTGAACATTACCATCTTTTTTACATGCTGAGTTTCAGCAGCTGTTAACAATATCATAAAGAAAGTTGATAAAAAAAAATATATATATATTATATATACCCTTGCTGTAGTTTCATCCTGAAGCTGAACTGTCTTTACACATTCATGACCTGTACTGTCCTTCCTTTGGAACATCCTTTGATCCTGTTGCAGAGAGGAACAAAAATGTACTTCAGGTGACTCACAAACCAAGAAATCAGAATCCGATACTTAAATTACTTGAATGTCAACTTCAGGTTAGATTTCCATGTGGCCCCTGTCCAACCCAACTCATACTTTCAACAGATCTTAAGGAAATGCTGTCTCATAGTCTTACAGTTTGCAGTTAGAACCATAAATAAGTTAAGAGCACGTTTGGACCTCTAAATAGTGTTAAATAAAAAGTTTTCAAGCTATTCTTACCAAGCCAGTTATTTTTAAAACATTTCCTTCGTAGGAGGGACAGCGTGTGAAGTCTTCAAATAAGTAATCCCACTCTGTGGTTAAATGGCCTAAGATTTCCACTTCTTTTACATATATCACTCTCCTGTTCAGAAGAAAAAAGTTAATACTCAATTTCTCCATGGGACTGGAACTTTGCCAGAATAACAAATCAAAATTAAGAACAGACATTTGTTTGAGAAGGCATTTTCAACGTGGATTAAAAGTATCCACTCAGTCACAGTGGAATCATGTTGCCTTAATATATATAGTGAGATAATCACTTTGTCCCTAAGACTCATAGATGATCTATGATATCACATAGTACACGCAGCCCTCCAAATCCAAACATTTTACTAGAATTAGATACTAGAGGGTAATCAGTTAATTCAAACCAGTTCCTCAGAGCCAGTCTTAACATTAACAGACTTTATCAGGATCTTGAAGAAGCTTCTTCAGCTGAAGTCTGAATTTTGAGGTGTGCTAGTCATTATAAAACAAACAGTGGAATGCCTCCTGTAGTGTCATTATGGCTAAGCCAATCTCATACTCAGGCAAGGTGGAAATTGGTGACATTTGGGATGTGGAGATCATAATCCATGGGTTCCTTTTCGTTATCTAAATGTATTTCGAAATTTTTGAGTTCTCAAACTGTGTACCAAAACTAGCAACATCTTGCATTCTAAAAATTTTCTGATGAGTAATATTAATTTTCATACTCATACAAAAACTTAGGAATCCATTTAGAGTATCTTTTAATTAACAAGATTGTAAACACATGCATTATCAAAACATTGGTTTAACTACAAACACTTACCATAGGCTAATTTGAAAAATTAGAAACAAAGAAGGGAAAAAAGAATATTTCCCACCAGTATGATGAAAGGGTCACTGACCTCAGAGCATACTGTCTTCCTGAAGCAGTAACTGGTATTGATGTCATTACCATATTACATTTTCCATAAAGGAAACAAAATAAATTATAAAAAAAAAATCAAGACGAAAACGGATAAGGAAAGTATATATGCAGAGAATAGCAATCAGGTTAGACTTAGTCAGATGTCTAATCCCCAAACTGAAACCAAGAGAAGCCCTTAGAAAGCCTTCAAAACTTAATACCTATTGGTAACAATAAGGTTTGCTCTTCTGCCTCTTGGAAGTGCACAGTGGTATTGATAGCTCTCGTTTTCCAGCTTTCTGATGTGCAATTTCTGAAACAGAAATAGAAAATAATTTGGAGGCTGTAAGAAGAAAACCTAAAGCAGTGTTTTCAATTCAAAAGCCTTTTAAAAAGTTACCCCGTTGAACTAGTTCTTTAAAGGCAGGTTCTCACAGCGTTCTCACTCCTGAAGCTGAGTCACTGAAAGGTCTGATCCATTCCACTCAAGAGGTGGAACCTTGACACTGCAGTATCAGACAATATCTTTAACTTTAATTTCCTTCCTGCGCCAATAATTGTTTAGTAATGTTCATTCTGTTACACCCCATACTGCAGACTTGATTCAAGAGTGAAAATCCTGTAACCATACCTTTGAAAGCAGCAGCATGTGAACCAGACCCTTAGAAACAACTACCAAGTTACAAATACTCAAGGCACCTCAAGGTCAGGCTTCTGAAGCATTCAATGTGCCTACTCAAATTCCAAAATAAGAGGGTATATGAAAGTGTAGATCAAATTACTCATCACATTTCTTCTATCACATTTCTGGTAGACAACTACAACTCAAGTGACAAACTATGAATACAGAGGTTAAAAAAAGTCTCAAAATAAAGTACTGAAGTGCTTCCTAGTGCCCTTTTTTCCCCGGTTCTTGACTAATTTTTGGGTTACGTATTTTTCAGATTTCTTATTCTGTACATGCTGTTTAACTGAAGTATAACATTTTCTAGAGCTTGTCACCAGATTTGCAATATTCCATCAACTCCAAAGAGCACCACGGAAGACAGTCTCAAAGTCAACCCTAGATCAAGCTCACAACAACACTGGCCTAAAGGCAACAAAATTCACAGAGCAACACATCAAAGTATTTATGGGAAATGGATACTTATCAAAACACCACGTACAAAAAGATAACATTGTGAATTGAATAATGTACTACCAAAGGGAACTCAACCTCAAATTGGTTGTGAGAATACATCTGTGCCAACCACTGGTTCTCCTGCTACGAATTTGTAAGCAAGCAGGCAATCTGTTTCTGTCCACCCTACTTTGCCCCGTCCTTGATTAACTAACATAACACATTAACTATGTGTTACAGGTAAATGTAGTTGGGTTACTGTTTGAACGGATGTTAGTTGTCAGGACAGAAGTGGCCTGCTAGAATTAAATACGTGTTTCCTGTTATAATCCTGTACATATTTAGTAGCTGCAAGGTTGCTAGAATTCATGTTCTGTCTGTAACTGCCATGTACATGGTAAATAGGTAATTGTTACTGAAGGATGTACTTCTTACTAGAGAACCTTACCTATACACAGGTTGTATTAAATGCAGAGATCACAAATTCTCTGGGTGGCAAACCTACCATAGTAACAGTGTCGTATCAGACATATCTTATCTAAAAGCAACTACCAGCAGAACACTCCAATGGGAAGCTCCTAACACACCCATGCCTACTGTTCTCTTTGGGGAAGCCGTACATTGTTACATTTAAAGATGAAAACGCTTACCATGAAAAAAATGAAATAAGGAAAATACACATCAGGTTTAAAGACAGTTCTGCACTTATTTTAGACTGCAAAGCTAAGTATAGTTGTAATACGCAATACATATATTCCTATACCTCAATCATCTCATGTTTCTGAACCTGCAAATCAAAGTGCCACTGATGTTGGAATTCTGCGAAGTTATTCATAAGCAGCTAGACCGTGTTTAGAAGCCAGCAATACTGGTAACCGTAGAGCAGTTGGATTAGATAGCCTGAACCTTGGAAACAAGTGTTGGAAAGAGGGTGTGCGTACCCAGGACTTTGCCCTAAGACTCCAGCCAGCAAAAGCATCTGGATTTCTTTTATACTTAAGAAGCTTCTAACAAACATAGGGTTCCAGCACAGTAGTCAGAAAAGCCTGGTCAGGGACACTAACCTAGTTATGTTCCTTGACAACCATAAGCTCCTTACATTTAAAAATTACGATGGTCATCAGTTGAGGAATTCACAGAAACTCCAATTACTACAGTCTATGTCACAAAATAAAACTTACCATTTATTGCTAAGATCAAGAGCTTTCAACAGTCACCACGGAGAAAAGTCAACTGAGAAGCTGAAATTCAACCTATAGTGCATGCATCTCAAGCATCTACTCTACCCTCTACCACTAAGAATGCTAAATCAGTGTAAGAAGTCTTTTATAAAATACACATTCCACTTGTAAATAATGTTTACTTTGTAAAAATGAACGAAGACGGTTCATATGCATAATGTGAAAGCATGTTAGCTTTGTACTCTCTAAGCCAGTACAACCGCCTTTTTTATCATACAACCTGTTTTAATGGAAAATGTGCAGCTCCTGTGGAGGAACGTGAGGAAACGTAAGGAAGAATGAAGGCCATACATGCTCTGTCTGGATGCAGAATCCATGCACCTCAGATCAAAGTTTAGCAAGTTCTTGCAACTGGATGCCCCAAGATCGGTTGGATGTTCTTCATAGCAAAATAAGATGACCTTCAGTTTGTTTTACAGCTGTTACTGTGGAATTCAGCCTCTGTATAACAGCAAGTTTCTCCAGTTATTTCCGACAAACTAGTGAGAACAAATTAAGGAGAGAGGACTAAAAATTCAGTATGTGTTTAGTAATTCCTTATAAAGATACGTTTCCTTCTGCATTTCCATGGCTGGATCTATAAAACTGGTAAGATGAATAGAGAAGCTAAACTTCACTCCACATTTATCTGTCTATGATCAACCACGCAAGCTAAGAACTCCATGTAGTTTAAGTAACCAAAATGAAAAGACTTTTTGTCAACTTAGCTTACATCAGAATGAATTAAAAAAGGCTTCAACATTTATTTATGTTTGCATTTTATTTTCATCTATTTAAGAAGATCAACAAATGTCTTAAAATATCATCATACATTGCAACTGACCCCAAAAATCCTTTAAGCTCAAAAGTGGCTTACTCTTCAAAAGTTTAAATCAACAGCATAGTGTTTTCCTGGATTTGCTCCCTAGTGATGTGATGCTTTGAAAAACATTTTAATTGAGCATTTTCCACCAACCGAAAATATAGGGTCCACATCTTCTATAAAAAAATATCACTTTCTGACCATCTTAAAAATTTCCAAAACCGTGAAACATACATGAAAAGAAGAAAAATGCCAGCTCTCAAAGTCTTTTCAAAACATCAGAAGAAAGATGGCAGCATAGGACTAAAATCAAAATACAAACTCCCATTTTATACCTAAACCATAGCTATTTTAAAAACAAGAAACAATTCTAGAAATACAAAACCCACCACCATGTAAGACTGCAATTGAAAGGCTGCAATACATAGTCTGAATCCTTTTGTTGGATATGCAGAAATGAGACGTGCCACATATTAAAACAGATTTATGAATAAACACGTTCCTCTATTTAGACTCAAAGCTTTGGAGAGAAAAGCTTGTTTCTCTTAACTTCAGAAGCAATCCCAATAGTATTTCTAGATTTTACATGCAATATATTACTAAAGTAAGGGTTCCCATGGAGCTCTGTGCCTAAGAGATGCAATATTTCTCATAGCTATTCTCAATACACCTGATAGACATCAGCCCAACCGTGGTGGCATTATGCAAAAAAGGGGGTTGCACTTAATGCAAACTGCTCCATGATCTGCACAGTCTTAAAATTCAGGCATTTTTATAAAAGCTTTTATTTTTATGAGAATACTAGAGCATTTTCAAGTTCAACTCATTCTTTTTTTATGTGGAAATGAAAGAATCAGTGCAAATTTACACAGCAGAACAGTGACTCAACTAGGAATAGAATCTGCAGTTTCTTGAAACCTAGCATAGTGTTTTCTCTGCCACGCACTGCTCACCACCATGTCTCAATTATTCATGGAGTGCTCTGCATTCTTTATAAAGCTCCATGCTTTAACTGGGAAATGAAACAAAGTAAAGCCATAGACACTGAATAATTTATGACTGGCATCATGTCAGACCCTAAGTGCTGGGGTTAGAAGACAGTCTCCTCACCAGAAAAGGCAGCATATTAAATACCTGCATATTAAAAGGCCAAGACTAACAAGGCCAAAAGCATTCCTCACCTCTTTTAGCCAGTCTCATCAACCACAAAGAGTCCTCATATAAAGATTAAAATTCATGAGAACTTATTCCTTGGAAAACAATTTTTCTAAAGTTGCCCTATTTGCTCTTTGATTTCTCCAGCTATATATACGTGCATTTATGTTTCACGAAACACATCCTGTGCTACTAATCCTGACCGCTTAAGCTAGAGACATGGCCTGCACGACGTCAAATCTGACTTTCCAGGTTTTGAATTGATTGAGGAGGTTCCTATACAGTCCGTATAAATTAGAACCAGCACTTCTGGGAAAATGCAACATGTAAACAGCTTTACACAAGTGAACTGATCTACTCCATCTGGCTACTGTCCCCATTCTGCACAAAAACCCCCCTTCCGAGTAGAAAACGGTCACTTGTCTTTTAAGACCTACATATATGCTCCTCCGAAGCTGAGCTCTAATGTTTACCAATGTCTATATTTCATATACAAGTGAGTATTTAAGTGAAACATTTTTTTTTTGTCAAAGCACTGGACAGTATTGAGGCATCCATTCCACAAGGTAACTTAAAAGGTTCCAAACTTGTACCTGTATACTTGTTTTAAAGCGACATACCCATTAAAGTTAAAATAGATGAGAGGGTGGGGATCCTGGTTAAACTACTTGTAAGGCTGGGTCAAAACTGGATCCAAAAATAAACAGCAAGTACCTATAAGTTGAGTTATTTGCAATTAAATTTGTGAATGCATGTAAAACTGACTTTCTGACTCATCTTCCTTGTTAAATATCCTATTTCCTGTAAAAACACTGTCTCTCTCTTGCTTCTAATTTACATTAGAAAACAAAACCTTCCCAACACTAACCTCTAGCATAATAATTAAAATCAATTAGTTAAAAAACACCAAATAAACAAAAAAACCCACCAAAAGCGCTCTGTATTCATTTAACTGACTTCCGAAAGGAAGAAACTGTATTTAGTGAACTATACAGATGATTCACTCCTGGTTAGTATACACTTCCAATTTACAGAATTTAGATCTAAGTAGTACAAATATTAGATGTGCAGGAACTGCATAATAGCCAGTATTCAGTGTTAATCGTGATACCTTTTCCTTTTTCACAGATGGAAAAAATATAGTGAAAAAAATCTGATGACATGAAGAAATTTGGTTTGCTTAGTATATCGCAAAAACTTGATTAGTTAAAACAAAAATTCACTAAATGTTTTATATTTTTAAGTTTTAAATTAAATAAGCTGACTACTGACTACTAAATTCTAAAAAGGCATTAGCAGCAGAGAGATGTCTCTGTTCAATGTTTTTTTCATGTATAATAGACAAACAATTTGCTCTGAGAAAAGCTTGTTAAGCTTAGCTTGTTAACTTATGAGATGTTGTATTAGAAATTAAATTTATGGCATCACTTAATTTAGAAATATATATAACATTATTTGTATATTTATGTAAATTTGTGTTAACAGCTGAAAGGTTACATTTAAGTATGTTGAACAGCAAAGCCCCAGAAGATTCTGTGAATGAAATCAAGAGTCAACTGAGCTGGCTATATTTTTTAATTGATAAAATTTTCATAAAGAAGTAGTAGTAGTAATTTGAAGGGATAGTGGTTCACAAGATGTGTAAGTGATATGGCATATCACAATAACCACAAATACGAGTTTCTCAGCATTTATATGGAACCAGTTTTTCTATATCATGAAATTATAAGCATTTTCACAGAAGAAAATTCCATTCAGTATCGTTACTTTAAATTTTGCACTAGTATCAAAATGTTGCTTTCTCCTTTCATCCCAGCCCTAGCTCTAAGAGAACATTAATGAGTGAATGAACTCAGGATCTACCCTATCACGATTTATTTTATTTCCAAGTGCCTTCTGTTGTTGCCATTCATAAGGAGTTAAGCATCCTTAGAAAAAACAAATATACAGGAAACAAGCCCTCCGTTTCTCTCTCATCTTACTCACTGATCTAATCTTAATGAAGATGCTTATTCAAGTTTGTTTGTTTTCTTAGCCTGGACAACATGAAACACTGTTTTATTCAACTGCAACACAGAGAAGATATGAATGGGGAGAGGACGCGTTAAACGCAATCACACCCTTCATCTAAATACTTAAGGCAGATAAAAAGACCGTGACAGAGAAGAAATATGGAAAATGTTTACTCCGTTATTCCAGTTCTTGCTGCGTATGCGAGGAGAGAAAGAGAAATAAGAGAAACATTAGAAATAAAATAGGAAATAAAGATTAGAATAATATCTAGAAAGAAGTAGCAAATATGCAAGTTTGTCTTGAGATGTTAACGTAGACAGTTATTTTACTTTAACTTTTTAGCAACAAAAGAAGCATTTTAGTGTAAGTTTTAAGAATGTGAAGACTGAAATACAAATTAAACTGGATTCTGATTATCTAGGACTCGAAAACAACTGTTATTCATCCTCCATATGTTAGCCACATCCAGATGCAGAAGCAGGCTAAAGGTCCACACAATGGCTGTAGCTATAACGTGTTGTTATTTACAACATAAGGAAATACCAAATGGTGGCATTTGGAGAATTCATGCAGTTTTTTCAACTGCTGATACCACCAAAAAAAAAGAAAAACAAAACAAAAAACTGGAATTTCAGTGAATGTTTTATATGCCAAACAACTCAAGCTCTATTCCTATTTAAAAGTTGCTTAATTTGTAAACCAGCCTCAGCTTTGTTCTTAAGCAGAAGATTAGAATCAAGCATCAAAATGTTTTTCTTGTTTCCAAATATTCAGATCTTAAGCCTACTAATCCTTAATCCTACAGTCTCCTTCCAGGGCATGAGATAATCAATTATGGAACACAATGTCCAGAAGACCATTTAACAGCAATGTTGCGGTTTTCTTGTCACATTCAGCTTACTACAAGCACTGGCTCTCCTCTGCTCTACAGGCTTGCCTTATGAAATAGGCTGGGGCAAACTTTTACTACAGATGACGACTGCCACGGATCCCCGGCAGCTTTTTTGTAATATAATCCTTTATGCAACCCAGTAGGTTAGCGAATTTTAACTGTATTTACAATGCAAGTCATACCTCAAATAAATCATAACCCTCGGCTTCCACCCTATCGTACGGCCGGATGATGCCATCTTCGTGAATGAAACGTGGAGGACGGAGATTAGATACTTCTTCAGTTGATTCTGCCACCCTGACATAAACAGTGGAACAGTATTCTGGTAAGCTTTCTACAATTCTGAGTACATTCACCAATATATCTCCAAAAAGTCACCCTTTCACTTGCCACATATCCCACTGACATTTCCTGGGTACCCTATAGATGTAGATAGTAAAAACTGCTAGTAATAAATCCAAATTAACATTAGCCAATTCGACAGCTACAGAATAACTTGGGAGAAGTCTACTCCCACCTGTGGGTAATTTACTAAGGGTTCTCATGTTTATGAACATGCTTGCCAAAGGTCCCCTTGAAACACAAGCAGCCCCTGATGTGCACTGCTAACCAAATTTCAAACTGGCAAGTTTTTCTCTGAAAATTTCAGTGGTCTATCTTTTACAGTAAATTTAAATGACATTTAGGTTTGCATTCAGCAGTACACAAACATACCTCAAAAGTAACATTTACATGATCTTTTAATGACTTTCTAATCAGATTCAAAGGAGAAAATGGACTAGTTATCATCTACCTGAACTACAACACAGTAATTTCCAGAGCTCATCATAAAATACACTGATTTCATCACAGGCTACTAGATATCTCTCAACCCCATATATCCTGCTGCACATTGTATATAACACAAGTAATTGTGTGTCACTACTGGACCACTTTATCACCTGGTATCCAACGTACAGACAGTACTTCAATACTTCCTTTTGACATTTTACCTTTGAATTCCCTGGAAGGTACTGCTTGCCATATCTACGATGCCACCTGTCGGGCGGGCTACCGCTCCTACCAGCCCCTTTCCAATTCCTTTAAAGAATCCAGCTGCACCTTCTTTTTTAGCCCCTTTAAAAGAAAGGGTAAAGAAAAGGAAATAGTTTTAATGACTTACTTGAAGACACTAACCAGAGAATTAAGCCATTAATGCTCCAGGCTGCACTAGAACTGTTTTGTATTGGAAAGAGCCCACAGAAATTGATTATGTACAATCCACTTATTAAAAAAGAGTTCTCTGTGAAGAGTCAGACATCACTTCCTTGCCTGTTCAGACACGTTGCAGTTCACTTAACACCTTACCAGCCTCCAAAGCCAGCATAACTGAGATGTTAACGAGACTCTCCTCACACTTTCAGTCTAGACTGTAGGCCAATGTATCAGTTTTTATAGGTTCGTAGTAATAACAAAATAACCTGAAGACTCAAAGATGCACAGGTATAATGGAAACTAACTATTCCTATCTGAAAATCACGTTTCCAGTGATACATAACTATGCAAGAGCTAAGACTGTTTAGAAAGCATGTGTTCATCCATCAATAAGAGAAGGACTACATCTCAAAGTATCTTCCCATAACCTATAAAATATAACACAGTAACAACTTCCAACATTTAGATCACTTTCACATGAATTTTAATAAGAGAGCTTTTCTCTTGGATTTGTTCATCATCTATCCCACTGATAAAGTGACAGTTTCACAAAACCAAATATTGGTCTCAGGCATAAAAACAAATTTGCTTTTTAAGATTTCTCCAACTTTTGGAGTCCCAAAAACATTTTCAATTGGTGTTTTTTAATTTATTACTTTTAGTATCTTTATTCTGGCTTTAAACAATAAATCAGGTACTACTGCAGGCTTAAAATATATCAAGACGACAAACATTCCTTAATTCATACAAAGGCTGTAAAAGTGGTAAGCCAATAACAGCTACAAATATATTTGAGTAAATCATCTTATAAGGTCACATTTGAATTAGAAATATAAAAATCATCTCGCTAAGCCTTAGCATCCCCACACTTTGATATTTCTAAAAGTTACAAAGTAAATTGGAAAGTATTGGGACAATTTAAACAGCGCAGTGCAACCTTAGTGCTCACCTTCTACAGGTTTAGTGATTATGCCTGTCACACCTCCAACGACACCCTAAAAAGAAGACGATAATTATATTCCTACTTAGAAACAGGAATGTTATAGTCCAACTGGGCAACAAGTTCTCTCTCATCCTTCATTTTAAAACTTCACTATAAAGTTCAGTATAGGAAACACTGTTTGGCTGGAGCTTTTTGGTTTTGTTTGGTTTCGTTTCCTCACTTTAAATTTTTCAGAAGATTATAACTGAGGAAAAGAAGGTGGGGAGGTGGGGTGGGGGGACGACACCTAAGATGGCTGAAGAAACATTTATACAGGCAAGACAGACTAACAACATTTTTGTACAGTAATCAGTCCTGTAATAATTAAGAATGTCACAATTTCAATACTAACAGGAAGCTGCGAGAATTCCCAGTCATGAGTGAGTGATACCAAGCATTCAAGATAAATTAACATCAAATAACTCTCTGGAAGACTTTAAAGGTCAAGTAGTTCAATGTCACTAAGGCAGAGGAATAAATATCCACTGAAGTAACTACTAAATTTCCAGCAAATAGTATCAGAAACAACTCTATAACGTTTATTACTTACAATGACTTAGAAATATGTTCACTGTTCTTATTCTGAATGGAAACTGACAGAATACAGATCTCATAGTAATTGTTTACATAAGGTTTGTCTCATAGTTAACACTTTCACTAGAAATAGACATGGTCTTTCAGCAACCAGAAAAGGTTCCCGATTTTAGGTTATAAGAAAAAAAAAATACAGGGGTTGCACAGCTTCTATTTCAGAAAAATCTATCCACCCTAATGTAGTACGCACTTTTATACACATTCTACTTGCTTTATGTTCACATTCTTTTAAGTCAAGAAAACCTAGCAGTTTTTGTAAGACCTCAGCGTATAGAAAGCCCTTTCTACTATGCAGCACATGGCCCGAGTTCATAATTCACAGGCTTTAATGACAGAATTGACTGTGAAGTAAAATACGGGCCCAGTTACTTTAATTAGATAACACATTTGTTGAACATGAGTATTTGCTTATTTACAGGAGAAATTTGTTACTTCCTACACTTTTCCTTTCCCTTCAACCTTCAATTACTCAAGTTGGCCAAAAAGATGACCTCAAACACCGAAGCTGATACACTATACTGAATCTCCTACGAAGCGACTGCCTGTTTGTCTCTTCTGTTTAGTTCAGGAACTGATAAAGACGACATCAAACATGCTTGCATATAATTTTCAAGCATGCATTAAGAGTTGCACATCATACCCTCAACTTCAAATTCCTACCCGTAACAAGCCTTTTCCTCCTTTGGCCAGACTGTCACCAAAATCTTTTGGCTGCCGACCCATTTCCTCTCTCCGTTTCTGCTGAAATTCTTTATCCATAGTAATAGCAGCCAAGCCTTTTCCAACAGAACCAGTGATCCTAGACACGACCCCTGCTGCACCACCTGATGAGACAGGACAGAAACAAAAGTTACTGTTCTTTCACAATTTAACAGCAGACAACACACAATAAGCCACAAAGTTCGTAATGATTTCCCTTAATATTCAGTTTAGATATTACGAATTTACACAGAGTGACTACCACATTGTCCATGAGAAAACTCTGGAATCTGGCCTGAAATACAGCAAAAGGTAACTCTTAAATCACTTCGATACATGTTATATAGCATATCGGATGGAACCGTATTATCTCTAATTACTGTAACACACAGCTAAACAAAAATCTAAGGTAACTGTAACAGTAACAGGTCCTAAGAACACTTCTCAGGCTTCTCCAGACAGTTTAGGACCATCCGTATTATTTTCCTTATTCATCCATGGCGTGTTACAAATTGAGTTATACATGCAATGTTTCTCAGTTTGCTTGCTCTGTCTACAAAACAGACATTTAGATGGTCTCAAGTAAGCTAGGCATGAACGATCTGTATCATGAATACTGGCAATAGTATCTGACAAACTCATCAAAAAATTACCATGTAGATATTTTAAAAGTATAACTTCCCCTTCAAAATAATAATAATAAAAAAAAATGTAAATGTAGTCCATGAGTTAACCTAGTTTATTAAAATGGTAATGCTATGATACATACCCACTGTGTGTCCAAGAAGACTTTTAACACCAATTACAAAGCCTTCAGCAAATTCTTCAGGTCCTTGAACAGCACCCTAAAAATGAAGCTTATTATCAATAGCAGAAAAGTAGCCATTTATACATCCATTTCAAGAAAAACTAGCAATTCCATTAGACTGATGAAAATAAGGCCATTTGAATATGTTATGTCTTCAAAGTTAACATAAAACATTACTGCTTGCCTAACACTATAACCCTACCGGTATATTCAGTCAGCCTACTATTCACACACAGTTGAAGAATCGGGAAGGCATACCTGGAATGGCTCATAGAAGAAAGCTTCAACTCCCTCAGACAAGCCTCTGATTAAGCCAAAGGGATTTCCAAGAACGTCTAACCCAAGCACAAGAACATACATCTGTTTCAGAAGCTACATAACGAGGCAGGGGGGAAAAAGCAAAAACAAAAGCAGTATTACTAGCTGGTGCTACACATAGTTCCACGTTAAAAACAAAGGTTGGTAAATTTTTCAATTTACTACCTAAGTAAGGTGTTAGGGTACTCAGGTAAGTATTCCTACTAGAATAAAGACAGGCTTAGGCAAAAGACACAGTATATATATGGCTAACTATTGGAATACTTCAGAGAAGAAAAATATAAATAAGAACAGGAGCAATCACTTAAAATTCTTAAAACACATTTTCGGAACACTTTTGTGTTTACATTTTCATAATGTGTCATCAGATCCTACTTTGGTACTATGAAATAAAAAATTAGTAGCTTTTAGAGTGATTCAACCTTTTCTTTCCTATTTTCTGTAGTCTGTAAGATACTCAAAATTTTACACAAAGGCTTAACTAAATAAGCTTACCTGTTCGCTATAATGTCTAACAACTCTCTTCATCAGTTGGTCTCTCTTGTAGAACTGATATTTAATTTCAAAGAAAGCAAGTCTGAAAGAGAAGTAATTACACTTTAGTTATAGATATCCTTCCTCCTTCTAAACATCCTTCAGAGCGTCCTGAAGCCCTATTCTGTTAAAAAGGAGCCCAAACCCTCCATTTCTGCCTTTCCCCAAAGGCTGATTAGATTTATACCAGAGTCAGTCAGCAAAGTTTACCATGGACCATGTATAATAGCTTTATTCAAAATATATTTTTTAAAAAAAATCTTTATTAGCTTACTTGAAAATAAGATCATCCACATCTGTTAGAGTAGCTCCAATACTCTTCAATAGCAAATTCAGAGAATGGATGGCTATCATTTCTCCCCCCCTGTCTGATGCTTCTCCACCAGAAGCCAGAGACAAACTCAAATGCAACTGTCAAGACAGAATTAGTAAAACAACACAAATTAAGACAAAAGGAGACACACACCAGACAGATTGTGTGGTGCACCTGTAAGGAAACCAGTGGTGAAACAGCAGTAGGCGTATTTTTACTCACTTTGAAGAAATGTACGATTTAAACAAGTTTGCTCAAACTCAAATGGTATTACTTTGGCAATATATGTATTTATTCATATTTCCATATAGAGAAGTGTCAAATTGCCCTACAAGTTTAACTTTTGTTATGTTTACAAATAGGTGGAGCTTAATTCCCAGTACAAGTTAAAATTTATGTTCTGATTTACTTAACTAGCTTGTGTGTATTTTTGCAACTAGTCACTCTTTTGGGGAATGCATGAACATTGGAGAACTGTCATTAATACTGTAAAATGGGATTGTTTAGTGTTGGTAAGACACTTTTTCTTAAAGAAATCCACACACTTTTCTTAAGGCTGGAGAGTGCAACAGAAAATTATTTCCCCTTTCCCTTGTTCACCCCATAACTAATATCGCAACCTTCCGCTTGCTTAAAAGAGTGCATAGCAGTTAACCTGTATGATTTGACTTTCTCAAGATTCCCGATTTTCTTTCTTGCCTTGTTCCAAAAAATCTGACTGGTTCAAGAGAGACATGAAGACAAGCCCATGAAAGTGTACTTATTACAATTTGTCATGCATTACTTGGATACCTTCAGGTTTTTATTTTTATATACATTTTATCTAGCTTTCCTCATTATTATATCCATTGACTCTTCCCAGTTAACAATGGTTAAGGGTCCGTTTGCATTCATGGGCAACATGAGCAACTAAGAAAGTTTTCCAACAAAGTATTAAGTTCTAGAGAACATTACAAAAAGCCCCATTAGGAAGAGAGCATGAAGACCTCAATTACACAGAAGGTTGATGTGAGGATTTATTTAATATGAGGAATTAAGAGATCACTGATATCAAGTAGTTTATTAACCAAAAGTATCACTATTGCATACCTTAATTGGAGAAATATGGAAATGCTCAAAGAAGCTTAGCATTGACAGGTCTGTTAAGGAAGCCTCCATTAGTTCAGTGTTAAGCGCATCCACATCTTGCTGAATTAATTTAGTCTGGTTTTGTTAAAAAAAAAAAAAAAAAGAAAAAATTAAACAGAAGTTTATCTCATCGGCGTATATGTAATATAATTAATATTATTATATAGAAACACATGTCAAAAAATATACATATAAATAAACAGCACAAATAATAAACAGTCAAATGTAATAAAACAGTTAGCTAACTGGTTAAATAGCCAACACCTCCAAAACTGCAAATAGATTAATTAATTTTGCATACCAGATTATAACTGCGCTAATATATTCAAGGGTACAAAAAAAAAAATAAAAAAATCAAACCACCAAAAGAAAAAAACTCAAGTACAAAACACAACGATTTATGGTGACTTTTCCATTTTATGCTATCACTTGGTATTCCCTTAGATTCCTCAATCATTTAAGGTATCACTTCTAAATTAATTTAGAAATATTAGTAAGATAACTAACTTCCTGAGGTTCTTTGCAGTTCTGTATTTCCTCACAAAATCAGCGTTTTTACATAGTACATCTGAAGATACAATTCCTAAAAAAAGCAACTTGTACGAATGACTCTCCTATGCACACTAGAACCAAATGTGACCTTTCTGGATACTATCCAACTAAATAAGATGTAATTTAGAGCCATGAAAATCTGTTCCTTCTGCACTATAAAGGCAAGAGACTGTACACTAACAGACAATTAAGTCTGTTAGTCCACTCTATAAATTCTAACCTTATTTTGTCTACCACCCTTAACAACTCATACCCACAGTTGAAACAACTGTGCCATCAATGAATCATCCAAAGCAGAAAAGTTACACATACCCAAGTATCAGCTTCTCAACCTTGCCAATGAGTAATGCTGACAGCCAATGTTTAACAGAAATACCAATGTTTCACTGAAAATTACCTTACCGTGTCCCTTTATTTGCTGTTGTCAAATGCACTATTCACTCATTTAAACTGAAATATTCGGCAAATCACAACACTTATCATAAAGGCCCTGTTCTTGCAAAAATCAGTTTCTCTCATTTGTTACCCTTTGTCTTTCAGCTTCTGGGTCTGTAGACGGAGTGAAAAGTTCACTAAGTGCTCCTAAAAATCCTTGATCAATTTTCAGTGCCATTTCCTGGATTAGAACCATGAAGTACCTAAAATGGGAAAACCAAACCATGTATAATTATAGAAGCTTAAGTTAAATATCACATGCTTACCCTACATAATTGCAGTTTTGTTATGTAACGTTGCATATTGAGACTTACAATCTACAGTATCAACTGCCTATTTACAGTTAGAAGAGCTTACCAGCCTCAAAGTCATACATTACTTTAGTTTATTCATGTCTTAACACTTTCAAAATTTATCTAAAAATATTAACCATCATCAAATATTTTTTATATTCATACTTTATGATTCCACATGCACCATGGATGACATCACCTAAACAACATATTTATTCCTCTTATCCAAGTGCCTCTCTCCAAAAGTCATGTTAATGAATATTTATTTTATTAAAATTCACCATCTTCAAATATATCCACACTCACTGGCTACAGATACTTGCATTAGAAGCCATCAGGGTAATGTTTTTTTTCTCATTTTTAGTACAAAAACTCAAGACAGACATATTAACTAAAGAACATACATTTCACAATACATGAGCTGTCTGTTGTTAGAGCACCAAATAAACCCAGCAGTGTAGAGCAAACGGGCAGACATGCAACTCTGATGTTGTATTGTAAGAGGGAAATAACTCTGATTACTAAGAAATTTGCCTAGTAGTCCCTTCATGTGGTCAGCCCTTACTTTCTAAAATTAAGTTTCCTTTAGAATGATGATTTTTCACTGGAGATGTTTAAAAACTCCATCCAAAGCCACGAGTTGTTTGGATAGGAGAACATGAACTTAAAAACATAGTTCACTTCTAAAACATGTTAAATCTTTAAATTTGTATTACAATACACTGTTAAACTCACTTGAATTGTAGTACTTTGCTGTATTCGTTGAATCTAGTGATAACACTGATGTCAATGAAGGGTTTTGGTTCTAAATAGAAAAAAAATAATTTAAAGTATACATAAAAAATAAATTGCCAAGTTACTACTTTCAAGGCTGAATAAATCTGATAATACTAAAGGCCCTCTCTTACCTGAATCCAAAGCAATCGACTTGGGAGGGGCTACAGGGTGAAATACAACAGGAAACATCGATCCTGGTAACTGATTATCAACCTAAAAAATTATTGCACAATCAAAGACCATTTCCATTTTAGAAGGCCTGAGAAACTTTTTTATAGATTGTGTTTAAGGAGAACGGGGAAGGAGAAAAGAAGAGGATTACTCTGATATTATTTTGGAACGTTATCTATTTAGTTACAAAAGGTCAGATGGTTGGAAGTATTGCACGAGGGATGCTTCCACAGGTTCACACTCACAAAGGCTCATTTAGAGGGTCTGCAGCTGACAGCATACATTGACTGTAATAGTGAAAACTACCTTCCGGGAAAAATAAAAACAAAATGCCAAAGATAAAAGGAAAGAGGAAACTTCGCCACCAGTTGGTCAGGAAAAGCATAAACAGGGTCCTCAATGAGCGCCCTCCCCTGGGGGGCTCTGAAGCGCAGCAAATGGAGATGAAGATGGCAATGATGATGATAATGATTTCCCACCATTATTTTCCTCTAGTACTAGACGCTTCTCACTAGTACCTGCCCGAGCGCTCTATTCGTTAATTTAGCAACACTAATTGTACTGACTGGAGTATTTTAATCAGGCGCAAGTGTTGCACATTCATTCACTGTTGAACTTCCAGGCTGATATATTATTGCATACTATTTTTGAATATTTACATGTTTAATATCTACTTCCGATTAGACGGGTAGGTTTGTACTAAAGATCCCTGAACCTCTAGATACACTCTCTCGAATAATATGTTACCTGACTATATGCAAACAATGGTAAACATTTTTGAAAAATGTTGAGGTTTTTCTTTCTTTATTTTAAAACATCAAAACACCTCGTTTTAGAAATAAACTTCCCACCATAGCACCCTGCCTTACATTAACCCACAATTTGGTGGATTTTTTTCCATACTACTTGCAAAATCCTGGGACGGCAGTTGTGCAGTACTTTTCCATCAACGGAGCATTCATAGCACTTCTGCTACTCTGATGTAGTGAGCAGAGCACCACACATAGAAGTTTTGGAGATGCTTCTTTGTATAAATGAATAGAATAAAAGCCTTAAAGCATGTGTTTACTCTATAGAACATGATGAAAGATGGTACCTGCAGCCAATACAATTGAGCCCGTAAGCTTCTTTGGTGAGGCGACTGTTTGAATTCAACCTGAATTCCTGACAAAAAGTTGCGTCGGATGCTGCATCTGACTGGGAGACGCATTTCCATTGGAATCTTACTAAAATTCACCTGGAAATGCGAGAAAGCAGAGCTAACTTACAGTTTAATTACAGACATAATAAAACGTTATGTTACTAGTAAACAGACTAGCAAATAAAACCTGCATTTTTTCCTATTTCATGATCTCAGGGCTATTGAATTACTTAATCCAATTATCTGTATGTAAAGTAACAAAACCCACAAGTTAGTCTGATAAGCATATTGTGTTGCAACTTCAGTTGCCCCAAGTGGGAACCTCTGTGTCATCCGAGTAACTATTTCTTCATGAGTTATATATTACGCTGGCATAATTAAAGATATTAATGTGCAGCTGATTACTTTTCCAGCTGATGCTTTTACCCTGATCCTGAAGCATTTAAGTTATGAGAAGCAAAAGGAAAAAGCTCTCCTTTATTCCGAGTCAAATGTAAAGACTTACAGATACAGGGTTTGATACCAGCTACTTTAAATGCACTACTGCAACATACAATACCTAAGTATTCATACAGCTGAGGGTATATATGTTTTTCAAATGAAAGGACGATGTAGAAAACAAGCCTGATTATGGTACTACAAAATGCCTGTATTTTGCTTAGTCATTTCACCACACTAAATTTGCATGTGGAATACAGGTACGTATGATTACTGTCTGAAAAAGCTCAGGTAAGTGAATTAGTTTCAAGAGCCTTTGAATGCTACAAGCTGCTTTATCATATTAAGTCATGGGAACTACAGCTTCCTAAGAAGTTAAAACCAAGATTTCAGCAAAGAAGTTACATCAATGAGACTATGTTCATAACTAACACACAGATACAAAGCAATCTTTTCTACCACACAACAGTAAAATCCTTTGAGACTCTTACTTCATAATGCAAGTCTAGAAAATAGCTCAATACTGCCTCAGCATTACCTCAGTACAGAAACATTCTACTGCATAAAACGTGAAACTATTAAAAAAAAAGCTTGCTTTTTGTTTGTTTCTCTTAACACAGCATCTATCCTTACACAGAAAAACAGAAGTCTGTTTTAACTGTTGCTTATGTTCTGCAATCATTTAAATACCTAAATCTCAAAACATACCTCAGTATTGCTGTCTAGTTTATGCCAACCTGGAGCTTGGAAAGCACTTTTAGAAAGATACTTTTGATAGGCTTGTTCCAACAGGTTTATTTGCTTTTGATTAAATGGTTTCCATTTTTGCCTCGGTTTCAGTTCCCAAACAACACCAGAACTGCAAGACAAATAACAAAGTTAACAATTTAAGATACTCAAACCTTTCTCATGCATGCAAGCCATGTAAAAAGAACTCTCAAAAGACACGTTGTTTTTTTCGTTTTTTTTTTTTTAATAGAAGCTAAAAAAAGAGGCAGTTAAATCCTATGTATTCAAATTGCACACTAGGAATAAAGGCAGAACTTAATTTTACTTAAAAAGGTTTCACTTACAATAAATTCATTTGAAAGATGTCCCTTTCAACTCAACTGAATCGCTAAAATTATACTATGCTGTCACATTTTGATTATTCAAAGGAATATTTAGGCTTCCACGTGCATTACCTAGTAATTCCTATATAAGAGATTTCCTTTTTATTTTCATTGTTAACAAGAGAAAGTCCAAGACTATGGATTGACAAGTTTATTTCCTGATCAGGTTGCTCCAGCTCCTCTGCTTGTCGTGCTTTAGAAACTAATGCAACGTCATCTGTGAAAAGTAGCACTCGTTGGCGTCCATCCAGGAAAGACACCCAGTGTATTTGAGTATTTGCATTGTAAGGGAATTGGCCACATTCATCCTGTGTTGGGGGGGGAAAAGAAAAGTATATAAGTATATTACAGGAGTAAATCTATGATGTTTATAAGCAAGTTTACTGGCACATATAAGGAAAATACTGAGTTCTGGTTTCTGTTTGTTCATTTCACTGCATCATACTGATTTGGTGGCATCTTTTATCCCAACATGTGAAAGAAGTTGTGGCTTGGGATTTTTATCCCCCCCCCCTCCCCTTTTGAAAAGTAGGCATTCCAGTGATATTTGTGGTGAGAATAATATTGGAAATTATTAAGAAACAAAGGCTTTCCCAGCAAAAGAAAAGATTTAGAAATGTAGGTGATGGGGGAGGCATTAAATCATATACCACGAAACAGTAAAACCAGACAATGATTAAGATCCCTGCTCGTATTTGTTATTCTTTATTTGTGAATTTGTGATACAAGACTGAGATAGTTAAAGCCCTTTTATCAAAAACCCAAAGTAATCATGAATGTAACCATATTTATATAGTAAGAAAATCGGTTTCAAAATGATTTTTAAAGGTAAAAAAAATCGACCCAAGGAAGTGCTTATACAGTAAACCACACTGTAATTGGTTAACTGTCAAGAGTTCAGCTGTCAGAAACTAAATCCATTCCCAGTGTACCCAAATCACAAACTTGCTTTCCTGTCCCTACTGTTAGCTAATAGTATTTTCTGTTTTCTTATCTTAACTCTATGCCTAGTCAACAGAAAAACCAAGCCACCTCTGAAGAATTCAGACTTTAGTAAAAGGTGCAAGAAGGCTGCTATTTAGAAACAGACACATAAGGCTTTCCTTAGCCTACATACCAGTTCGGTGAGAAAAATCTTCCTCCATCAATGAGTGTTTCCCCGTTCTTCAATGAAATTCTTGCCCAGTCTTTTCCTGGATTTACCTCTGTTTCTAGTTATAGTTTCCCTCTCCCCACCCACCCACCCCCCTCATTTTCCATCTTGATCATTGTTCTTTTTGCTCCCACTTCACACATTTTCATATTTTAATATTGCATGAGTTACAAACACCAAAATAGCTCTTAGTGAGCAACTCAGAATTTTCTGCTCCATGCAAACATTTCCCATAGGAAGCGAGAGTCACAACAGTCAGATTTTTCTCCATCTTTAGGGAGATACTTAAGCCCAATGCAGCACTGATAGAAAATTGATGAATTATTCATCCTCGTACACTTTATTTTCCTTCTTTCATATCCAAGAAAAACATAGAGAAAATGCAGGCTGGAGTTTGTGTCCAATCCTCCAATTATATTAATCTAAACATCTGAAATCTTGCTACTTGAGAGTAGGCTCAAAAGTCTCTTACAGGACAAGACAGATGCAAAGTTACTGAAAAAGTTTTCTCCCAGATAATTTTCATCTTGTGATAGTCCTGGATTGGTTCAGCATTTACTTTTCCCCTTCTGAAATTTACCTTAAGTAGGTCATGTTCACCAAAATTTTGGGAGTAGCCCCAAATCAATTTTCTTGTTTTAGTTGGATCTGTCCATGCAAACAGGCACACTTGGTTTGGTTTCAACTCCATTTCCTCTTGTAATCCACTGTGGGTTAAAAGATAAGGAGTAAAATGACAGCATTCACTGGTTGAAGTGGTGCAAGCAGACCACAGCGCTATGTACTCCACCCCTCCAGCAGTGAGGCATGAAGTGCCAAGGCTCTCCGCTCCAAACTAGTCCAGCTGCAGCCAGGCTCTAGGCGAACGAAGATCTACACTCCCACTTTATTCTCCCCACTATGAACACTGATTAAAGTAGACAAAATACTTCATTAAAAGAATACAATAAAGAAAAAGGGGGTTTTTGTTTGTCAAGGTACAATAAAAGAGAACCACTTTCTTCACAAAGTATACCCCCTGCTTAAACAACCGATGGTGAATTGCTTCTTTCACATACCTCTGTTTAAATCTGAGAGAGTCCCATGGAGTATGGTTGACAATAAGAGCTGGAGCAGCTCCCTCATGGTAATCCGAGAAGCTTATGACAGTAGAATGCTCAGAAACATTCACATCTACCAGTAAGCCCCCATTCTGGAGACAAAGTTAGACAGAAATTTCAATATTTGTTCTGTGCATAAATTCAAGTTAGAACAGACTAAATTGTTATTTTTAGATTAGTCTTTCACCAACTTCTTACAAATGAAAGAAGGAAGTGTACTCTACATTATCTAGTAACGGTAAACTCAAACACATTGGTCACTGGCTTAAGACAGACACCAGTAGCATCCACAAACGATTTGTTGATTTAATTTAATTGAAAGATCATAATCAAACTCTAACATTTTAAAGAATTACTTTATTTGGCTAAGTTCAGTTAAAAGTATTGGCAAGCATTCCCTTCATTTTCCATTGCAAAACTTAAAGTTATATTTTCAAAACTGCAATCTCCTGCATACTCCTTAAAAATCTGAAAGGCTACTCTAGAAAAATGTACGAAAGTTTTTAAAAGTATGACAAACGTAGTAATAGCGTGTTAGCAAACTGAAGACTGAGAAGAAAACTTCTGTTGATTAAACCTCTAAACAAATCATTGTCTTTCTTCTAATGGCTTTCAAGATCCTGCCTTCTTCCAATATATTTGCAAGATATTTCTGAGATACTTTAAGCACAATTTCTCTCATTCACTTATACTAAGGAAGCACCTCATGCTTTCCCTTTCAGATGGTGTCTTCAGACCGCTTTCTCAAATGTTTGTCTAGTAAGATAAATTGATGCTTTTGCTACGCTGTAATGTCTGGAGAAGAGATGGGAGGGGACACACCTACCTTTGAAAAAGAAAATCTTAACAGATTCTCCAGCTCGCATCAGAGGGATGGGAGAAATCATGTTTAGCACTCTACACAGCAGTAGTAAAACCTCACTACATACAAGACTAGAAAGGATTCTCTTGCAAAGCTGAGCCATCTAATATCTTAGAATAGTGGGGAAAAAAAAACCCACCCGCTATTCTAATAAAGAGCATCAACAGAACACCAGATCATTGATGACATCTTGTTCCAAAAACATTTTTTTCAACCTATTTTAGCAAACTTGGAAAGCTAGATTATCCTCACAGTCACTTTTATTTTAGCTAATTATGATAAGCATTATCTCCAAAGACTTGTCTGAACATGCTACATTTATATGCACATTCCCTGATGCTAGGCTGAGTTCTGAAATAATTACGATTCTATTAATGGAATCAAATCATTTTAGCCATTGACTGTGTTGCCAACATGTATTAGCTTATAAAGAAAACAAGAAATACATTCTATGTTTGGATAACTATTTAAACTAACTGAAGGCACCTAAGAAATACCCTCTGCAAAAGAACAGATGCTAGAGGTGTACTATACCATTTTTAATTTAATAGCAATAGAGCTGTTCAGCTTCCTATAAGCTTGTCAAAACTAAGTCAACTTGACCACATCACACTGCTATGAAAACATTAACAACATTGCAAACTTGATTCATAACCTTTTTCATGCAACAGAATTGAAGTGCAGTGCACCAACACCTTAATGCACAAGGTTTCAATGTTGATGATCTCAGGGAGTCAAGCTTTCACAGGATCACAGAATGGTCAGGGTTGGAAGGGACCTCTGGAGATCACCTAGTCCAACCCCTGCCAGAGCAGGGTCACCTACAGCAGGTTGCACAGGACGGCGTCCAGGCGGGTTTGGAATGTCTCCAGAGTGGGAGACTCCACAACCTCTCTGGGCAGCCTGTGCCAGTGCTCCACTACCCTCAAAGTAAAGAAGTCCCTCCTCATGTTAAGCTGGAACTTCCTATGCTCAAGCTTGTGCCCGTTACCCCTCATCCTATCCCCGGGCACCACTGAAAAAAGACTGCTCCCATCCCCCGGCACCCTCCCTTTAAGTATTTTTAAGCGTTAATAAGATCCCCCCTCAGTCTTCTTTTCTCTAGACTAAAGAGACCCAAGTCCCTCGGCCTTTCCTCATATGAGAGATGTTCTAATCCCCTCATCATCTTTGTAGACCTTTGCTGGACCGTCTTCAGCAGATCCATGTCTTTCTTGAACTGGTTTCCTAAGTTCAATACCATAAGGCTAAAATGGAGTAGTAGGAACAAAGACCACACAAAGTCAGTCTCACCAATTCTTCCAGCCTCAGCAGAGTACCATTATCCTGGGTTTTATAAAGGAAGGGTTTGGATGAGCTTTCATAGCCAACTACTCTTACACAAAGTTCACCAGATGAGTTTTGAGGCCAAAATGGAAGACACTGTAAAACAAGAAATATGCATGACTTTAACAGCTCATATATGTTCAATATACTAAGTCAGCAGTAAAACAAACAGTCTTGTGTGACTAAAACAATTTCAAATGCCTTAGTTCTTACCCCCATATCTACTGATGAACATCGCATCTACATTTAGTAAATTATCTAAACTGAAGGACTTGATTAATTTACCAACACGTGCCATCTGTGCTGTTCAAGTTGCCCTGAAATGTGAAGTATCCACATCATGCCATCAGACATGACAGAGCTTTTATAAGAGAACTGCTTTTTCACTAAGTGACAGCTAGAGACTGGTTGCTTGTCTACAGTAACATTCAAAGAAAAAAAACCTGAAACCTTACCTCTGAAGCTGAGATATAATTCCATTTATTAGTTGGAAAAGAGCCATTAGGACCAATTTCTCCAACTTCTAGTTCCAGAGAAGATTTGTTTGCTATTGTGTAGAATGGAGTGAAGGTAACTATCCTGGTAAGGTTAAAACTGCTCATTTTGATGCTAACTCCAACCTATTGAACAAGGACAATTTGAGCAAACTTCAACACCAAGCTTAAGAGAAAAGTCAGGGTGGAAAAAACGAAAAGTCAACATTACTGTAATTACAAAGGCTAGCACACAACACTCCTGTTCTGAACATCTGCGATGAAACAACCAAACAGCATGCTGTAAAATCAGCAAACTATGCAGCACAATTAACACAAAGGTAAAGAGACAGTTTTTGCTGTAGCATTTTGCAGTTGTAGCATTTGTGGGGAAAATCCAACAGGAATCCCACTACAATAAAGACAACTTAAAATCATCTTATTAGATATCAGTTAAAGAGTACATGGAAACACAACTCCCTACATATCTGCATATTCTTATAAAGCATATTCTGCTTAGTTGTGGAAATGTAGTCTTAGACAAGGCTGCTGAGTGAAGATCTAAACACTTGCAAACAATCGTGAATTCTGAATGCGAACTCTTATTTCCATTATGCGAGTTCACCATTGTATTTACGAACAGCCTAGTACTACACATGTGTTACATAAGCCACATTTACGAATTACAGTGGAACTTCTGTTGGCTGGAAGTTCTGCTGGAAACTACTTGTTGCCAGGTGCAGACTTGAATAGCTGGGGCATAGACATTATTACCCTAGATGTTATATTTTTAAATGTTAAATGTTTAAATATTTCCATGATTTAAAAGCAGCGTAATTAGTGAAACAAAGGCCTTAAGGAGAAAAAGAAGTCAAGCCAAAAGAACCCCAAGAAAGCTCCATAAAACACAGAAACCTATCTTACCAGATAGTCCATGTTATTAGCTGAACATCTGACGCATCCATAGCTTCCTACAGTATCAAGGGAAAAGCTACTGGACCAAGTGCTAGTTGAAATACATAACTGGATCTACACACAAAAAAACAATATGGAAAGCATTCAATAGATTAATTTTAATTTTATAGTTCACTCATTATGGAGTGCAATTATGTCACATATAGCAGTATAAAGATGACACTTAAGTGCTTTTAAAACCTTCTATAAGTTAAGGTAAGATTAAGCATGTAGTATCACTCTTCATATTCTGATTTATTAGTCTGTGCCTGAGTTCTGGGAAAGAAGTTACAGTAAAAGGTAGCAAAATAGAGGAGTCCTCATTGACTCATGTTCATGACAGCACACACATAGATGGGAAAAAGAAGCTACAATTTTATGGTGCTACACAAACTTGAAGAGGGGGGAGGAAATAATCAGAAGAACACCTCTTCAAAATTCTTTCTTCGACCATTTCTTCAACTATTGTTGGGTGAAAAAAGATATTTAAAAGAAAAGAAAGGCCACTTCAGAAAAAAAATCTCTACTACGGTACTCTTCATTTGACCATGTAAATATCACATCAAAACGAAATAAAAACAAAAGAAGTATGTTTAACATAGGACAAAAATGTTTACGTTGTGCATTTCAAATGCAAAAGTACCTAGCTGAGTAAAACACAAGCCTGTGATTGCTCATTATGCAGTAGAGAATGCCTCCACAGGAAGATTCAGCACAGCCTTCCCTTTGACTATAGAGAAAGTCCACACTCTTAATTTACATATCTGCATTAAATTCCTTTCCCAAGTAAACAGTTTTCTGGTAGGGTACCCACTCATTTTTCAGTACCTAACCACTCTATCACCAGCCAGCTTCTGGTCAGGATGAAAGTTAGGCAATAGGATGCAGTGCAAGACATGGGAAAAGTTGCAATAGACTTGGTCTACCTGCTTTCCCTTCTACTTATAATTAACAAGAAGAAAGCAGTAGCCAAATGAAAGCCTACAGATTTAAATACTACCAAAAAAATCCCTAGACAAAAATATGCATGTGGTTTTTCCCCCTTAGAGTAGGATTATAAAACACTAACGCCACAACCACCACCCAAAATAAGCATACCTTATTTTTACTAAAAATGTTTTTCTTTTTAAAGGAAAACAAAACAATATCTCTGTAGTCTGCTGGATGCTTCACATGAGTGTCTTCAGCTCGATACTGGAGAACACGGGAAGTCTTGTTGATTATCCAGTAAGGACTGAACACAGACAAGATCATACGACTTCCAATTCGCCTAGTATGTATGTAAATATCCACTGTCATCACTGTTGCAGAATGGGATGTGAAACACACAGAAAAAAATTCAGGCATCCCATCACGAATTTTAAGATGACCATTCCAGTCTTTGCCTTGATATTTTATCAACACAAGCTCCATTATTTCTCCATTGATTCTTGAATGAAAAACATCTGCAGCACTCCCTTCCGTCAACTCACGGGCATCTGCTGTTCCCTGAAGCAAAATTAAAAGGGGCAAATTAAGTTTTCAATATATAAAATTGAAGTACTTAAAAACCAGCATTTTATTCTCCTCTTGCAGGATGCACGCGTTTCAGATATCTCAGGTACCACATGTCCCAAACTCCAATCACTTTCATTTGGGCCTGATTCTATGAATAATTTGAGATCAACTGCACTTTTCCTGCAGGACAGTAAAGACTGCTTAATTCTGGATTTCAGGAAGGCAAACTAGTTCCAGTGTATCCCCTGTCTCTGTTCCCTCCCTCCCTCATAATTTCCAGTGGATTTTGGCAATGAGTTCTTATCCATATACTTACAATACTGGGTGCAACACTGAACTGGTACTGTGCTGCAGATGTACAGTCAGGACTTTTCCCATTAAAGAACACCCAAAGCAAAAAGCTGGCAGCTGTGCCATACTGTTTGGTAGCACAGCTTTCCTCAGGCATTAGCATCCCACAACAGAAGCTTTCCTGTTTTTTACTGAGAAACAGGGCATTTTACTGTATTGAATAATGGCCAGGCCTGATTAGTCAAGCAATGTGAGGACAATAATAAGCACATAACCATCTACAGGTACAGTGACTTCGGAAATTACTAGTTTCTAGCTCCTCAGTCAAGGCAATGGCACTCCGTTCTACATTCCGAGTAGAAACTCAGAGTGAGTCCGAGTACTGCAGTACAGCGAAGGTAAGGAAAACTGGAAATAGTACCATTAGGATGTTGGACATAAGTGAAAGAAAGATCTAAATGAATGCCACAGCCAGTTATGCGAGTAGGACAAAACAGAACAAATTAGGATGACAGTTCTAAATCATCACACCTTTTCTATTTACTAAAATCACTCAGCTTTCACGAAGAAATACTAGATACCAAAAATACTCAAAGAAGAGGAAAAAAGTCTGCATAGCATCCTGCAAAGAAGTCTTTCAATTTGTGCAAGGGAGACCTCACAATAGTCCTCAGTAAAGAATCTGTGTCCAAATGGAGAGAAGTTGTGTTTTCTACATAGAAGAAAAGTTCCAGAAATTTTAAATACTTTCTCTTATACCTCTCGCTGTTAAACAAAAGATAACTCGCAAAACACAAACAGGATCTCAGAAGAAAGTAAAATAGAAAGAGCAATCCAATACAGGATTCATATTGAAGCAGCAAGGCAGAACTGGCCAGGTACACCCAAATTAAAACCAGAACCAATCCATATAGTCTTACTTAAAATCCAATAAAGGATTTACAAATAAAACGATGACGTAGCTTACCTCAAGTAAATACCTCAACGAGTATGGTAAAAGATTCCTCACAGTCAGTGTAGGGTGAAGGTGGATAATGTAGGCAGGATCCCACTCCTCTCCAGAAGCGGAAATAAAATTTAGTTCATCAGGTATAGCTGTTGAGCTGATTATTAGGGGCAAGAAATTTGTTTCCACGGCTGGGCACTGTAGCAAGCACTTCACTTCATTGCTCCGATGTAGCTCTTCCCTCCAGGCAATATAAGTCGTGGACTCTTTGAACTGACCCTCTAACATTCCTGTTGGTCGAACATATAGATGACACCTATGGGAAGCAGAGAGGTCATGGTACACAATAGCTTTCCATTGACAGCTAACTTCACCCATTTTTAAAGTAATTGCTAACATTCTGAAGGGCTTTTGCAGCACACTAATTACCTAATGAAGGTAGCATTTTGGTTTTTTAGCCCAGTCAGGAAGAGTTCCAAGTGCAAATTTAAGCATCCCCACTAATGCTGTAGTAGTGCAGCAGTCTCACAAAGATTAGCCCTACAGAACAGAAAGAGCGTACCTGTATGAATGCAAAGGAACATGGAATTCCTCTTCTGGCTTGGATATGCCAACTGGCTCCAGTGACTTGGAGTCTCTAGCCAGTTTATAGATTATAAATGGGATTGAGAAATGGTTCTTGATCTAGGATCAAAATGCATAGTTTTCATTACACTTCTATGGTACAATTTTCTAAAGGAAAAATTATGAATGCTAACAAGGGAAAAATAACAGTAAATTTAATTAAACTCCTCTGGAAAACAGATTTCTATGCATCTTAGTAAGAAATGCAATTCTGAAGGAGAATAATATGCAAGCATGTGAGAAAATTATGCTACTTTTAAGTTCCATGAATTGAAAAACATGCTTAAAATGCCAAGATGCATAAAAAGTGTCTATTCCAGCCTCAACGTTGAAGATATTAAAAAGCCAAAAGTTAAAAGTAAAAACCAAATTTTTCATATATCAGGAAGACACACACATCAGAACACAGACAAAAATTCATGTAACAAATTAAGTAAAATACTTAATAATTTGCATTTAAGTAACTTTTTGAAAAAGTGGGATCTCAAAAAAATGCAATAAGGAAGAAAAGCTAAGTCACTCAGAGAAGAGCACTTCTTTCAGGCTTTTGGTCTGTCTGGTTGTTTGTTTTTTTTTACCTGCAGAGGAGATCGTAGAGTAATAACCTTATTTCCTTCTGTAGCATCTATCTGTACAATGACCGAGTCTGAACGATCAACAAGAAGGTTTCTTATGTTGTACAGTCGTCGACCTGGTTTGGCTATGGGAATGTTTACCACTTCTTTATAACCTTGAAGTTCTAATTCATAAAAACATATAAAAGTCTAAATTAGGCAAAACAAATCACATCACCATTTTCTATTTGAACAATACTTTAGCTTCTCTACACTCAGCAACAATGAGGATCAAAGCACTGCGGCAAAAGCAGCTTGAAATGGTATTCAAGCACCACTGAAGGAAAGCTTTAAGGTCAGAATACTCTTGAAGACCATAACTTCAAAATACGGTTTATACACAGCACGATACATACAATGAACAAAGGTATTTGTTGGGCGAGTTAACAAAATGCAACACAACATGATTTTTTATCACGGCCAAGTACTTTTAGATGGGATGGTATGGAAAGGTAAAAACCAGATTATGTAATTAGTAGTTATTATATCCTGTTCTCCTAGAACTATTTTCTGGCAAAGCTCAATACACAGAGAAATTGTAACTGCTCTCAAGTAACTAGGTTACTACAAAAAGCCGAATGGCAGTACGGGTATAAGTAATGAAGATCCTACTTAACAGGAGGTTGAACACACAGGCCTATGTCCCAAGGGTTTACCAACAGACATTGATAGACCATCTGATCTATCAATGACTCCACTAGAATGTCCTCCACTTCTTCCAAATGGGGAGAAAAAATATTGTACTTTTCACTCTGAAAAACTAGACAGAAGGAATTTGACATCTTTTTAAGAAGTCTAGTAGCTGCTTTAATTTATTTTTTTAATTGCCATCAGTATTCAAAAGTAATTTCAACACAAAGTACTTCACCTGCATTTTGATCACATTGAATTTAACCATGTTCACTCCCCCACCTTCCCATTCTCAACATGTCACAATGCACAGTGATCCCTAGCATAATACCTAAATTTAAAGAGAAGACGGAGCTTTCTTGTCGGTACAATGCAGACAACTTTCCTCGTTGGGGTGTTTCAAAAACAGAGTATTCGAGTTCCATGTTCTGACCAATATCTACATGGTTCATGTTTTCTTTTTCACCTGAACCAACAATCCGAAAATTGGAGCTAGGAAGCACTTTGAGAGGAACACCTAGGGCATTTTTCACTATGAAAGGTGCTGTGTCTTTAAAGGAATAGTCAAAAGTGGATGCAGTCCCTTCTGAAAATGCCTGTAATTAACAACAGATATAATACGTCACACATAAATAGCCACAATAACATATATAAAGGCTTTAAAAGACAGTTCCCAGCAACAACCATTTTAAAGAAAAAAGAATATGTATAGCAATACCTATGATGTTATTCCAGAAAATGTCATTATTATTCTGTGATTTGCAGCAAATGTTGATGCTACAATTCGCATTCATGCTTCTCATAACGGAATTCTTTTTACAGTTGTTGGGTTGTAAGAGAAAAATAAGATCGGGACATAGAAGTCCCAAGCACATTCACCATGTATATACTTCATATTCAACCACAACTTATGCTTACAAACATTTGTTTGACTACCTAAAAGCCATGGTAACTGACTGCCAATATAGACTTAGAGGATAAGCAAGTATTTCAGAACTGTCGCTCATTTAGAATCAAAAAAATCAAAAGGCCTAAGTCACATTCTATAAAAATAGATTGATTTAGTAAGCAGAACTTCTTCCCCCCATAAAAAAGGTGGGAAAAAGCCTAGGACATTCGTAAGCACACAAACTATCACAAGAAAAATAGGGAAAAAATATTTTAAACACACTGGACATTCTACTTCTACAGTTTGAAGGCCAATCCTAAAATGTACAATTTTCTCGGTATTCTATTACGGAGAAAAGATGGAAGGGAAGTAAACTTCTCTCAATATTTTCGAAAAAGAATTGTAGGAAATAGTTGTGTTTATTGGAGGGTTTTATTGTCATTAAGCCTGCCTGGGGGGTTGTTCCTTAAGTCCTGCATAAGCACATTTATTCTTCTAACACAGTAATCGGTTCTTTCAAAAGCTAGCACCACCTTTTTGTTAATCCTAAAGGACTAATCAGAGTACACGTCTTCAGCCCTACTAGATAACATTTATCAGGGCTGCAGAACAGTCATTGGCTTGTGACTGCAGCACTGAGAGTTCTTTGGGAAAAAAAAAAAATAATAATAATCAGAACTTCCTCCAGAACCACATAATTCGGCACCTTCTGCCTGTTAGGACAGGCTAAATTACTTACCTTAGCTAAATTATTGAAAACAGCAAGACAACATTTGGATATTGTTATATTCATTGTATCCTTTGAAGAGATGTTAACTGCAGTTTGTGGCTCAGGAAGAATAATGAAATCATCCCCAGGCATCAAACTTCTCTCTTGGACAGGGTTAGTCTTCATCTAAAACAAAAAATTCACTAAGCAATTATGAACACATAGATTACTTTCTCCTGTGTTACAACAAGAAAAAACTTGACCTACACTCAACAATTTCACCAAGCAAAGGAAAACCTACTTTACCTTGTAAATCTTAGATACCTTACACAAACACAGAAATTTTATACCAACATTGAAGGCAAGCAAGTTATTTTCTTTCCTTTCTGTATGTATAGTTACACCTTACATTTTACCCGTGCAATGCACAATTAACATTATTCAGAAAAACCTCGAGATGTCTAAAGACTGATGGTTTCTTTATGTGAAATTGCATAGCTCCCTCAAAGCAACAGCATTCAAAAGGTCAATGTTCTGTCACATAAAACTTTTAAGAAATAGCTGTCTATCCAAAAACATTTCACATAGTTTCAGGTATGTTTACATACTTCCAGCTTTAAACTCCATTGCTTCTTTCCTCCTTCAATCCGTTCAATAAGTGGCTCCCACACTGCGTAGGTTTCATTGTAATAATGAATCTAAAGAAAGAATCAAAATTAAATCAGGCATCTAAAAATAAAGGTCTGAGTTTCTTCCAATAGCATTTAGTACAAAAAACATTAATAAGAAAACAATCAATCTTCATTTCAAACTTTGGAGCTTTATCATTAATTTTTAATGGCTTAACCACTTAATGCTTAGTCATACTTGCCTGACTACTAAAGAACCCCTAAAAGCATTACAATTTAAACCTATTATTAATTTAGCACATAGAAAGTGTACTAAAAAGTTACTTCAACGTTATGAAATGCGCAGAAGTGTTTTTAAACAGCTAACAATTTGATTCTACGTACCTCCAGTGACATATCAGCAGTGACCTCCATCAATGAGGACCAATTCTTAAGGACACCTGAAAACACAGATTCTACTAATAATAGAGGGACAGTACGATGTCCCAGACCACACTCCAAAGTGATCTGGACCGATTTCACTATGATGTCAAATTTCTCTTGTTTCAGAACGTGTTCACGGTCCTTAAAAGTTTCTGTTACTTCTGTGGCTACATCAACACCAAGAAACCAAGCACTGCACTGATCTATAGGCTTCACTTGCCACAAATTCTCAGAAACTTCAGTTGGTCCTCTAGAATCCTCCTCTGTTGTTTTGGGTTTTATGGCTGCCATAATGGTCACCACAGTGTTCAGAATTATTGGTGAGATCTTGAACAAAGCAAAACAAAAAACCTTTATGACTTAAAACATTTCAAAACTGATTAACATAAAAAATACATGATAAATGGAAACGGCAAATAACTCTTGGGTTCCTCATACAGGTACACAACATTAAAGACCTTTCTAAGAGATACAACTTAAATTCTAAGATAAAGAAACAGAATCCATTCATGGAGCTCCTCTTATTTTTCTTTTCTACAAAGTCTCCCAGTTCCTCCCCAATGATCCCACAGGCTCAAGAACAAAATTCTCAGATTGGAATTTCACTTTCACTGATACGTGGTACTCCCATAACAGCAGTCAATATCAACCTTTTCCCCACTACATTGTAAAACTTGAATTTATTTTTAAGATCTTCAAGGTGCTCAAAAGAGCACGTTTGCAGAGTTATGTACACCACCATTTCAAGTAGCAGTACAGTACATCTGTCAAAACCTTTATGCTTTATGAACAACGTACTACTGCTTACAGTTCAAGACTTCACCACTGACCACCTTTTCAGATCACAAATGCCAATTTGTGAACTTTTTATAGGAGAATTAGCAAACTACATTCAGAAAGACCTTTACTATAGACACAATTATTAATTTCCCTATTAAGAACAAGGTATTTCACATTGTGTATCATTCTGGAAATCATGGTAACAGCCTTAGGTTTACATGCACTTGTGTGCGTGCTCCTGCTTATAAGTATCTCTGAAGAGAAAAGCAGTGGTAGTGGCAGCAGGGGGAAAGCTTGTTTCACAAATTTTTAAGAAACTGGTAGGAAGAATCCTAGTATCTGAAGTATTTAAATTAAACCTCTTTTTGCCAAGAGATTGCCAAAACAAGGAACATGTAATGATTTTTTCCCCAACACAGAGCAGCTCTAAAAAGGATAAATCCTTATTTTTTATTTAAACTAATGGGGAAAACCTAATTTTTAAATGCAATGTGCAAATTAAAACAAAAACCAAAAAGCTACAGCTCGAGAAACACACCTTACCTTTATAGTAAGTTCTTCTATTGTTACTACCACAGTTTGTAACCCTGAGACATGTATCATATTTTCCATGACTAAAGAACATGGCCGTAACACCTGAGTGAAAAATATAATTTGATTATTAAGGTAACTCCTGGAATCTAACCTTTCCAAATGGACTTGTATTTTTTCATCTCACAGGCCAAAGGGATGCTGATCCCATGAAACAGCAACATGTATTAGAGTAATGGCATTCTTTCCATAGCATTATTGTGCTTTATTCCAGTATCCAAGTGTGCACAAGAGCAATTTTGTACTGGAAGTTTACAAGTTAGTGAAATAAAAGCTTTTGACATAAGGCTTAAAAAACAGTCAAAACAAACACCCAAAACACAGATGGGCTGATGCTATAGTCAAAGAACCCTGAATCCCAAGAAAACTAAATGCGTAAGGAAAGATACCACGTGCAAGATGAAGCACACAGGCCACCTCTGTGGCACAATGCTCCCTTCCAGAAATGAGTAGTTCCAGACAATGCACCGATCAGCATACTCTACTGTAACAAGTAAACTGGCAGGCAAAGTTGCAGAGAGGTACTCGTAGTCTTCAAAACCCCACATATAATTTCTTCACTAAGAAACTTTTACTTTACAAATGCACTACACAGGTTTCAGAGAGTCTTGCACCTACTGATGAAAGATTCACCTTTAAATGGCATACCACAGATGCACAGTCCTTTCCTATAATCAATATAGGAAAAGTGAATTTTTCATAATAATAATATGAAAAGTGAATTTTTTGAGTGTTATGTATACGCCAGCTAAAGGACATAACTAAAGGACATGCCTGCCAACAGTTCTCAACACTTGTTTCATTATGAAAAACAAGTTTTCTTACCGTAGTAACACCCTTGTCTTGTTTTTCTTTGAGAAAGGCACAGGCCAACACTTTGAAACCCTTCACTTGAGCAGTCATCCTTTGTGCAAGCTTTCCAGATGTCAGAGAAAAGTCACACTGGAAGGAGACTTTCAAGGCGGGGGCATCAGCACTGGTCAAATTAGCAACAAATAAAATTTCTGGATCCATGATCACAGCTTTTACTGTCATATTTGGCCGTACAGATATTTCTGTGAAAATAATTTAAAAAAAACCCCTTGAATAGAAAAGGTTTGAAGGCATTATTATGTACATAATACCTAAACCATGCACAGAAATTGCTACATAATTTAAGAGGTACAAATTTAACAAATAACATCTCAATTTTTACACAAATGCTTTGCTGAAACTCAATATCATACAATGTCCAGAAGGTCAGAAGTTTTTTTTTGACAAAACTGTTTTAATAGTGTAAAAAAGACAGTATTAGCTCTATATACCGTAGTCAACTTAAGCACTGGCTCTACAAAGCCAAGTTGGAAATCGTTATCTTCTGGCTTGATACCAAAAGTAACTAACTTCTTCAGAGTGAAGATCTAATAATTGAAATCAATTTGGCAATATACAATTTCTTGTCTGAATGCCCACTCAGTCTCCAAACAGAGAGAATAATTAAAAGCAACGCCCTCTAACCTAGCGCCGGATCAAGTCACTTTGGTACTCAATGACAGGCGGTATAGTGGCGTGTGACCCTCCTGCACACTAGGACTCAATATATGGGTTGCTTGTGCCTAACAGTTGCTGGAAATACTGGAGTATCACACCTATGCAATGGAACAGTGGCCAAGTTGAGGCTCGGTGCACGACAGGAAAAGCAGAGCAAGCCAACTTGTGGGCTGCAGCCAGCAACACATTTGGGTAGTCCTGAGCAGCCCCTGCAAGTGCCATTTCTCTGGAGTGTGTACCACCCCTCCCTCATCACAGGACTTGTGCATATCTCCTACAAGGGAAGAGGAGAGGACGTGAACTGCTGACGTCACTGGGGCAATTCATAAAACCTAAGGCTTACTTGTAGCAATCTGCCAAGTTCCTCAAAAGAAAGGGAGGGCCCTTTGGGAACCAGTTCAAGAACACAACCCACAGATTAGGCCTCACCACAATGCAGGCAAGCCTAGCAATCACTTAAAAACAACCAAAAAAACCCCCCAAAACCTACTCAGAAGTAGTCTTTCTTGCCCTTGCCTCATCATGCTTTACCTTAAGCCTTCAACCAAAAAGAGGAAAGCTGTTCATCAAACACTTTGTTTTCCATATCTGAGCTGAAATAATAATATATAGTTTCAAAATACACAACTTGCAGAAGTAAGCGTAAGACATTCTTTGCCACCCACCTTAAAAGAGCAAGTTGTTCTTTTTACTTCCTTCACTACTATCTACATGGCACTTTTTACCCTAAGGATGCTTCCTTTGCAATATTACATAGGTAAAAATCCTGTTTAGCATGACTTGATTTTCAATATTTAGCTCTGCCGGAGAGGGCAACTGCACTGCTTAATACAGCAGTTTTATAACTACTACTGCTTGCAACAATCTATGGTATCAGTGGCCAATTTACACATCATGAAGAAGAAACTCATTTCTTAAGTCTGATAGCAAGATAGCATCTTAAGAACTTTTGGATTATTTTTTTTCAGTATGAAGTCTGTAAAGAAGGGGAGTCGGGGTGGAAATCAGTTTTACCGACCTGTTTCTGGCTTGGATTTTCCAGAAGCACCATGCTTTAACTGGAACTGTGCAGATCTTTCAGTTGAGGACGCCGGCATGGAGGTAATGAAAAAATCTGCTACTGCCAACAAAAACTCCATACTGGCACATACATACAGCTTGTCAAGGACAGCAACGACTTCAGTTCCATTTTCATCCTGCTTGTAGCTTACATCTATCATAGAACTGTCATTTGTGTCATCTTTCTTGTCTATCATTCTGGAAAACAAGTTTAATAAGAAATATTTCAAACATCATCACATGTTGATCTAGAAAAACAAGGATGCATAAGCAGTGCCATTTTTTCCTCCCCGTGCCATTTATAATATAAGCAATCAGTGCTTCCTCCAGAAATAACAGAAGAGTAATTTCAATTTTAAATTTGTGTGCTATAGTTTAGGAACTATGTATGCAGCGTGTAACGATCAGACTAAATTTCCAGTGTAGAGAACTATCTAGGTGATGCTGGTTGCTCTCTACTCAGCCGTTCCTACACAGTTTACTGTAATATTCAAGACTCTTGGGTGGCTGGTTTTTTCTTTCGTTTTGGATAACATGGGAAATAAGCATATGAAAGAAGAAACTTGCTTAACATTATCAAATCACATTACTCACTGTTTTTGTGCACAGTCTGACAAGCAACAACAGACAGCCCTACTAAGTTTTAGCAATCCCACGTGAAGCAAAGTATAGAACAAGGAAACAGTCTTCCTCACAAGCTGCATGGAGTTTTTTCATTTCTGATGCACTCAAACTTACCTCGCAGTCACATTCTGAATTCCTTCTCTGAGATCATCCAGGGTACATGCCTTGAGTTTAACATTAATATCCATTGAGCCATCTGAAAACATCTTCACCGATGATGCCATGAGATGCAGACGGAGTTCACCAAGGCATAATTTGTTACTATGCAGCGAAAGCAGAGACTTCTACATAATGAGAAATTGTAGAACTAGTTACCATAGAACAAAGTCATAAGCACATTTCCCTTGCTGCTAGTCACATGCATTTTGATACATGATTTGAAGGATCTGATTAGCCTGTTGCTGTCATCAGTCCTCCAATCATAGAAATTAGTCCAAGAAACTCACTGAGAAAACAGAAGAAACAAGTTGGGTTGTAGTAAAGTTGTTTCTTCAACACATTTCTAGCAGTTGTTCAGAATGCATGACCAAAGGATAATACATCTGAACCTCCTACCAGAAGATCCCTCTGCTCCCATCACACTAACTCATTTACAACCAAGGCCTCGGCAATAAGCGGAAAAGACATCAAGAAACAGTTAAAATAAAATCCCATTAGAGCATGTTTCTTCCCCATGACACTCATTTCACAAGAACTTTTTTTAAATAATACACCCACCATACAAAAAGCATCACAAATTCCTGCCTTATAGTTATTTTAAATGCAAAGCTACCACCTGTTCACTATATAGCAAGACTTATGAAACAAGCATCTTCACATGTGGACAAAGCATAATAAGTTTTTTTTAAAAAAGCAATATTGCACATCTTTCTCTTCTGTTTTCAGCACAGGCAGGATGCTCATTATTGCTCACACTCAGGAATACGTAAGAGGGAAGTACGGGTCATGTACACCATGGGTCTGCTTACTAACTATACAGGCACCATGCATGTTGCTACTATCATTTACACTAGCAATTCCTGCTTTTCAAATTTTCATTTTTGTTTTGGATATACTGGAATGAAAGGATTGAATGACCAGATCAAATGGTGGGTGGTTTTTGTTGTCAGTTTATTTTTTTTTTTTAGTGTGAATTTTAGAAATGCACTTACGTCCTTCAAATTAAGGACATCCTCTGCCCATAAAACCTCCAAGTTCCAGGATAAATTGCATAAGCTCCTGTCCTGGTTTCAGCTGGGATCAAGCTAATTTTCTTTCTAGCAGTTGCTGTGTTTCAGATTTGGTATGAAAAGAATATCAATAATGTGTATTGTTTTAGTTGTTGCCAGGTGGTCAAGGACTCTTTTCAGCTTCCTGTAGAAGCTGAGAGCAACCATAGACAGAACAAGTTGACCAACAGAATATTCCGTACCATAGACATCGTGCTCAGTATATACATAGGGGTTGCCTGGAGCGCCAGGGATCCACAACTGATGCTTGGGGTTGGATGGGCAACCAATCTCCAAGTGGTGAGAGCAACTTGGGTTGCATTACTTTATTTCGTATTTTCTTCTACCATTATTATTATTGTTATTTTCCTTTCCCTTACTGTTCTATTAAACTATGTTTATCTCAACCCATGAGTTGGGGTTGTTTTCCCCTTTCCCCTTCTTTTCTCCCCCTTCTCCCTACACTTGGCTGAGGGGGGGGCGTAGAAGTGAGTGAGCAGCTGCGCGGTCCTAATTGCTGGCTGGGGTTAAACCATGACAGCCCCATAAGGCAAGCATTACAAAGCCAACACAAGCGACGAAACTCTTCCTTTTATTATCCTGAGTTCTGTCCATGTGAGAAGCCTATGTTACCCACCCATCCATATGGTAAAATCTTTGTCACAAACCTGATTCTTATCACTATTGTAGAGAGTTACTGAAAGTGACTCAAAATTAAAGTCAAAGTTCAGTGTTGCATAACATTCCGCAGAAGACTGAACTGTAGAAACGTTTTCTTGTCCAAATGCAAGAGGACCTGTCAGTGAAAATAAAATAATTTTGTATTTCTTTAGAACACTGAGTTTGGGGTGGTTTTCCGGGTTTGGGGTTGGTTTTTTTGTTGTTTGTTTTGGTTTTTTTAATTAAGATCAGAAAGTCAAAAAAGAGGAAAGCTCTAAATCAGGAAGACTACCCAGAAAAATACGCATTTTCATTTACTCAACATCACTTTGTCCTATTCAATGCATGCTAAAATTACCTAGCACAGAGTGATTTAAGAACCTTCAAAAAAGTTGTCATTAATTTACTGCAGTTCTTCATTCATTTTAATGAAGAACCACAGGAAGTACGAAGACTGCTCAAGGAGTTTGCACTACTCTTCAAGTTACTTCTCTTAGTGTAGTAATTCAACTAGCAGTTGAACAGGAATTTTTTGTCATTGAGAATGTTAAGTTTAGGACAAAAAGGGTTTGTCCGAAACAAAAAAGTTTTGGCAAAGGGTTAACAATATTTCATGCAGAGACATGCACTGTTTACATTAACACACTATTTGAATACTAAGAACATCCTAGATTGTTATAATTGTGCATTAACATTCTAGGGAAGTTGGTTTGGCTTTTTTTTTTTTTTAAACTATCTATAAGTGTCACTGATATAGACTGAAGAATACTATCCTATAAAAGATGAATCGCAAAAAACACTACAAAAACCTTTGATCATCAACAGCTCACACCACAACATTTTTAGTTTGTGCGTACATTCTTATCTATAACTTTTCATGCACAAAAGTACGTATGTATCAATTAAGAAAAACAATTTATTTACACACATTGAAGTGCTTCAGATAAATATGATGTTTGAATTTCCACATAGACCTCTGCCTAAACATACTCAGCTTTCAATTTGAACATACCCTCACAGAAATCAGATTCATTTGGAACTTTCCCTTTCTTAAGTATCTGCGTATCTTCAATGTTCTGTTGCACAGTATTTGGCTGCGAAGTAGCTCCTCCAAGGTTTTCGAGTAAAATTTTCATGACAACAGTTAGATCATCTTCACTGAGTGCTATCTGTAAAGTGATAAACCCACAACTTCATTTTTGGTGACAGTATTTCTTTCCAACACCGAACCCTGTCTTCATCAATAGTATGCAAATGTTGAGGAAAGACAAAACACTGCTTCCACCATAAACAAGCTGTCTAGTCAAAATGATCCTGGCAAAACCACCCTAAGTAACTTGCCCATTTTTCCAGAAATATCATTTGTTACTTGTTAAGAACAGAAGTTACAACAAGAACTAACAGTCTGCGTGATAAACACTGTCTAGTCTTGTAAAGGCTCTTCGCCTGCTAAAAATACGAATAAATTATAATCATGAGCACTTGTTAACAATTCAGTAATCCAGAAACATAGCCAGATAACATTAAAGCCCAGACTTAAATTGTAGACACTGAAGCAACTGTCATTCAGTAGGCTTTTAAAGAGATAAGAAATCTGAATCCAGTTACAACATGACATGATTGTGAAAAAAATAAGCACTAATAAGTGACAAAAGGCAGTCACTTAGGCCATAATCCATAGTGTTAAAATATTATTTTTCTACATTTATTATTTTTTTTACTGGTACTCCTCAAATAACTTATTCCTCTGTGCTTTACCAGTGGTACATTTGGCCACAGCACAGACACAGAAATGAAACAGGGCTCACAAACAAGTAAAAGGCCCCTCAGCTCTTTTTTACCCACTTACATCCATATGGTTAATGTAGGAAAAGAGAAAGTAAAGCACTCCCTCTGCAAAGACATCAACCATAATTTTAAACTGTTGTATATTAGAGATCCACATCTAGCCTTTTAATTTCTAATAAATCTACTAAACACTCAAATAACCTGAACATTACAAATCAAACTATTTAAAACCTTAAATCTAGATTTTAAACACTAACTCATCAGATAACCTCAATAACTTTACTGACTATTGAATCAAAAGATAACTCCAACAGACCCCCGGAAAAATAAAAATAGGTTTTATTCCATTTGTATGCAGCTACACAATAACTATTCATTATAGAATAGCAAAACTCCAACAGAACTATAAACTGGACAGTCAAGCTGGAAGTCTTAACATTGCGTAAAGGATACAAATTGCAACGAGTTTACAAGCTCCTTTACTAAGCTAAGTACTACTCTGAGAATATACATAACTTTTGATGGAGCTCTGACTTGCCATATTACCTGCATTGGTTTTAGGTCTCCTTTGATACCAATTGTTGGGGTTTTATGATACCAAGTTGCAGCTAAATTTCTCTGGACCAGTAAAGTCAAACTAACAGGACGGAGAATTTCAGAATCTGGTTGAGAATCTGTGGATATAATGCACCTACAAAAGAGTGGAAGCAGCAAGAAAAAAATATTTAGTAGTTGCATATATATAATATCATACTAACCTAACAGAATTATGGGTATACTTCTTTTTAAATTGATAGCAATGTGCGCTTACATGCACTTATGCACAGGTATGCACTTAAGATGAACTCAGTTACTGTCCTATCATTCCTTTCTTTCCAAGAAGTTTTGGAGATTGTGGACATGTGTCCCCATCTAAAAGCACTCCTGAACTTGCTTTAAGGGGTTTTTTTGTTTGGTTTTAGTATGTTTTCATTGCGTATCATCTTTAAGTAATAGAACAATGCTGCGTATGGAACATGGACTCATTTTCATTACAAACACTTTCCAACTCAGAGGAAAATTCCATATATACCTTGATAATTTCAAATGAGTTAGCTGCACATCCATGTTGTCAATGACTGGAGGAAGAGAAGACTCATCTGAAGACACCAGCTTGAATTCATTCCGAACTCTGATTAAGCCAAGATCAGCTACCAAAGCATTATTTGAAGTCGAAGATTCAGGAACAACTATAACTGGAGCTTTCAAGTTGACATCCATTAAGAGGCGGAAGCTCTTTTTAGCAAAGTCTTTCATGCTGGAAGCAGCCATTTCTGCTGCCTGGACAGTGACTGCAGTCAGGGCTTCTTGTGCCGTTTGGAAATTGTTTAGGAAGTTCTATTGATAGGTAGTAAAAAATGTGAGAGTTCTATGAGAGCAAATAAGCCTCACAAAAAAGGCAAGCCCCAGGCAAAATGTAAATTTAAGTAAAATAGTACAGCTGTGGTAGAAAATGAAACTTATAATTCACCCATGCAAGTTTTGAAAGAGAAAAAGCTTAAAATCATGCATAATCTAAGACATTTCTTACCTATTTAATTTTAAGATACTATTAAAGCTATATAGTCAATTCTTTACTTGTTTCATCATCCTTTTCATTTGTCCTTCCTCCATAAAGCAGTGCACTGCTTTAAGTGACACTTCTTCAGCAAAATAGTTCAATATGCTTGTACATCAGCTCACCACAAGGTACAGGTCACAAAGAGCTGATTCCTTCCTTTTTTTTTTTAATTAAAAAACTTTTAATATCAAGAAAAGAACTGAAACTATTGTCTTACCAAGAGAGACATAAAGAATGTATGTAGGTAAATAATTTGGATGCAGCCCACTTTCAGAGACATTTTACCATCCACCCTTGACATATCAGCGTAGGCTTCCCCTGCAGTAGCATCTGGATAAAGTGACATGTGAAATCTAAACACTTCATCTCCCATTATGGAGACAGCCTAGAAGATTAAGTCCATATAGTTAATACTCCCAGGCTGTAATCTCTGATAGAATTCTTGCTTAAGTTATCAAACAAGAAATACCTCCACAAAAAGATCAACTACAACTTATCAGCGATACTTGGACACATATGCTAAGCACAAAAGTAAGTCAAATGAGCTATTTTATGGTATGTCTCACTTGGTTCTCTATAGTCCATTTTATATTTAACCCATGGTACTCAGAATTAAACACATCAATGCAAACATGATTAAAAAGAATTAAATATTGAATGGAAGCACGTTTTGCTTCCGTGAGATAAAGGAAACTAACCAATGAAATTTTGCTTAATATTTGGTGCGTTACATTGTACTTAGTGTTATACAACACAGGAAGCCAACTACAGGGCTGTCATTAAGTAACTTAAAGAACTAGGTCTCTTTATTTACTATCTGTACAACACATCACCTTTTTATGGAGTGTTTTTGGATCAACATTTGTAATTATGATGTCCTCAAGCCTGGAGAACACTTTAATCTTTTTCGTTTTCATAGCTACAGATGCATCCATTCCTGATTTGAGACAAAAGGAAGAAGATAATTAATGCACTTTAACAAATCTCAAAGTAAACACTTCTTAAAAAAGAAGCATTATTTATTACTGAATATTAAGAATATGAATAGCTTAGAATCCAGCATTCTACTATGTAACAATCAACTTTCAGCCCAAGACAGAAGTCGTGACCTGACTACACATGACAAATTTGCCAATAGAAATGGACTCTAAAGCTAGAGTAAAAATTCCCAGCACTATCAAGGATCTAGCTATTAAAAAATGGAAGCTTATGTTATTTATAACATAGTGCCTTCATTTCTTTTAATTTTACTCCACTTAGAAATTAATTGCCTTCTTTTTCCAAGTCAAATATTTTCTTCCCTCACAAGCATTTAGGCTCTTAAAACACTTAACCACAACCGTGTCATACAATCAAAATGTATTCAAACATATGTTACAGAGACACCGACAGTGCACACGGTAGCCTTTCAGAAAAGAATGAATGAAGGGGAATAACGTATTTCTTCCTATGACCGACTGATCTAATTAAAATTAAAACCCCTTACCTTGTATTCTAATGTCTGCAATGCTACAGGTCTGATCACACACTGTAATATTGAATGCATTTAGCTTTGCAGTGAGTTTTAATTCACGGGTATCATCATCGGCTGCATTACTAGACACTGGACAGGAAACAAAAAAGACATACAAGAACTTCATTATAAGTCATTTTTTTTTAAAATAAATGTTATTTGTTTTGTACATATATGAACTATTCGGAAAGCAATCTGCAGTTATTCCCTTAAATTTACTGCTAATTATTAGTCAAGACATGAAATAAGTCTTTTATTAACACAGTTTTATTCTGCCACAAGAACAGTTACCGACTGACAGAGGCAAACAGCAACCAAGATGTTTTTTCTCATTAATATCTACTCTTCATGCAACAGTATGCTGCATACAGTGTACATTTCATTAACTGAAACACTCCCTCACATGAGAAATACTCCTTTCTGTATACAGTAACAAGGCAAATTTAGGCATATTAGGTGAAAAAAATTTCTGCAGCAAAATTGAAATTGCCCACGGAACACATAATGCAACAACCAGCCACTGTTAACTCAGTCCCAATAGATTTAGGATTAGAAAACCTTGAATTTCCCAAACAACACTACAAACACAAGAATCAACTACACAGGACCTGATGAAACATTCTGAAGGAGCTTGCATACACAAACTCTATTTCCAGGTTACAGATCCCAATTATTAAAATAAGCACAACACCCTTCAGTTCCGAACTTCTCTTTGCTTCTCCAGGGCTCAAGAATGTATATTTTCAGCCATGTAAGCACTCTTCAGAGCCTTCAGATTGGAAAGCAAAACAGTTGTGACACTGATGATTTGCAAAGGCTGTGGTACTGTTCACTGCAACATCATTTATTCGACTTTTATTACAACAGTCAGACCACTATGTAGGAAAGAGTTATATGGAGTAAGGAGAATCTGTAAAATTAAGCAACAGCAAAAACATCTGGCTTTTAAATGAGGTTTTCTCCCCGTGTACAGTTGTGCATGCCTTGTTCTTCCACCAAACAGACTGCAGTGCTGTCACCTGAAATGGTATCCTTTGAAACCAAAGGCCAGGCACTGTTAAGTAACAAAGTTATGGCCTTTCTAATACCGCATTACCTGGTTTAAGAGTACTTCCTTTTTCTTTTTCTTTTATTTGAGGCTTGCGGTCCGATGCTTTATCAGTACTGGGAAGGCCACTTGATGGAACACTGAATGTGAGAAAACTCATGATGGAAAGCAAAGCCTCTGTGTGAAGTACTATATTCAAACATGAAAAGATGACCTAAAACGAGGGCAAAGAGACAAAGTAACATTGTTATTTAGTAGCAGTCCATTGTGTAACAACTCAGAGTTACTGTCACAGAATTGAGACAAAAAGTGCCTTGCTCAATTTCACAAGTATCTCACCCCTTCTATCTCCTTCAACTTAACCCTTTTTACTAGGGCATGTAGTGATAGGACAAGGGGGAATAGCTTTAAACTGGAAGAGGGCAGGTTTAGATTAAACATTAGGAAGAATTTTTTTACTGTGAGGGTGGTGAGGCACTGGAACAGGTTGCCCAGAGAGGCTGTTGAGGCCCCATCCCTGGAGGTGTTCAAGGCCAGGCTGGACGTGGCCTTGGGCAACCTGGTCTGGTGGGAGGTGTCCCTGCCCATAGCAGGGGGGTTGGAACTCGATGATCTTCAAGGTCCCTTCCAACCTAAACCATTCTATGATTCTAACACCACACACAAGCTCCAGAACAGATGAGGGAGCTATGAAAGGGCAGCTTAAAACAGCTACAGAGCAACTGTGCCAATCTAAAAATTGATGCTTCATGCGGTTATGCTTTTTCAGTAAGCTCTCTTAGTTCTGACGCATGTCACTGTGGACTACTTAGCACCTTGGTTGGCATCTTTCAGAACCATGTATAGAGATATTTTGGTCTGTACGACACCACAAAACAAGATTAAAAATTAGCAATCAGAACAGAAAGTGAAAGAATAGCAACTACTCTAGCCAATATTACTTAGTGAAACCTAGCATCAGCTAGCCAACTTTTCCCAGCCCAAAGCAACTCTTGGTAGATGCTGTTTTTACTGATACATTATGGGATGTCAGCTTTCTTGACTCTAAAGTAGTCCAGCCACTTCAAATTCCACATACAGCTGTCAAGAAGCAAACTCCACCCACCGCTACTACCTTAAAGGAAATATTTTAAAAGCAAAATGACCTGCTTACTTCAGATGTCACTGAAGCCATGAAAAACTACACATAAATAGTTGCTTTCCAGCGAAGTAAAAAAAGGACTGATTGAACACAAGATCCCTAAGGCTTGTTTGACTTTTCACCTCACATCTCAATTTCACTGTTATAAACTTTCAAGCTCTGAAACACAAGGCCTTCCTTACACATGCTGCTAAGTGTATCACTCCAGAAATAAATATCCTACAGGCCTCAGTTAGAAATATGTCCTTATAAATTTTAACTAGCTAAACAAGTACAGCTTCTAATTAAAAAAGATTAATACACTAAATACTTCTGTAAAAATATAAAGCAGTAATCTTTAATGATTAGACAGTCAGGGGGTTGGTTTTCTTTTTTTGTTGTTTTTATTTCTCTTCAATAAGAGAGAAAGTGGTCAACTAACAAGTTTACGTAGCTGTTACTATTTGAGAAGCGTAAAAAAATACATCCAATACTTACATTGATGTTTTGCTTGGTGTTTCTATAAGTAGTAGCAAAATCCGGTCCATCAGCATCAGCCTAAAGGAAGGGGAAAAAAAAAACAACAGCCCAAGCAGACAGTCAGCGGATATTGAATCAACTGAATTCAGTAACTGAATTAATTGAATTTACCACACACCAGTGTTATTCCCATTGCAAAAGAAAACAAAGGAAAATGGTGAAGCCTGAAAAAAGTTCTCTAAATAAAGCACACAATTAAGGCAACCAGAATGGGGTACTCCCTATCATCTGCTCAGTGGCATTTTATAGCATGTATTTTCTGAAAGTTCAATAGACGAGTTACAAAACTTTCTCTTATCAAGGATCTATTTACACTGGATCAATTTACGCTTAGTACTTTGTCAAAACAAATGAACTTGTTTTTTCTCTATAAAAATTATATCCTTGTAGATAAGTGCACGAGTGGTCCACTGGTTCTACAACCTATCAGATTCCCAAGTATTCGTGTAGTTTTTGAAGGGCGCTTTTTTTTTTTAAATAAAAGCTCAAGAACTCTAGCTACCAACATATCACTCCTCAAAGGCTAGTTTTACCACCTGTAGAGAGGCACCAATCACTTACATAGGCAAAGACTATCTCACCTATTAAGTTTCACAAAGGTACTAATCTGTATTGTTCACAGAGAAGAATGCTTATTTGGCTTCACCAGTGATTTCAGTAATTGTGTTGACTGATGAAACAAGCCCTTTACGGAAGCAGTGGGGAGTTAAATGAAACGGTAAGTTGAAAAATGGGTATTTGGGAGCAGACCTAGACAAGTTTTAGACAAAACCTTCATGTTTTAAACCAAGCCAAAAAAAAAAAAATCTAACACAGGCTAGAGTATGGAAGCCTTATTTTACTCCCCATATAATCTTAGTTAAAAGGTATCAAAACCTTGATGTATTCCATTTTCAGAAGATGCTCATCTGTTTCACTTGAAGAATTAATAATGCAAAGAGGATCTCCTTTTGAGTCTGCAAATAAAGAAATAAAACTATGAAGTACTTCCACTCAAGCTTTACTCCACCTATGGAATACCTCCATGCTAATTCTCAATTATATACTACTTGTATACTATTCTTGCTGAAATAGTGAAGATCAACATCTCTTTTCACTGAGTAGCTGCAGATTAGGTGTTACCTTGGGAAAAGCTGCATTCACTTTTTTTTTTAATTAAACTTAAAATTAACTTATCAAAATTAACTTATCTTGGTCCTGAAAGAAGATTCAAAATTGGAAAGTTATTTGCATTCCTCCAATTAGAATTAGTTCTGCGTTCCTATCTTTAGGTTTTTCTATTAAAAAACACAGTTTTCTACTTTGAGTACATGGCTATTTCAGTTATTACTTCAGCATCACTTTGAATTGTTACCTGACCAATCAAGGAAGCATGCTGGATTTCCAGTGCTGCCAGAACCAGTCATAGAGCACAGATTCAGAAGCTCATCAAAACACCCTGAACAGACAGCATACTTCAAGAACGACCATTCCGACTCAAAGTAGGCCACTAACTCAAATAAATTAACTCAAGCTAACTCTAGCAACAGGAGTAAAACTTGGTATCAGGTAAAACAGATTACTTAAGTGCATCATTAACTGAATTTGGCATGTGATCTCCCGGCCTTTCCCCCCTCACACTAATTACTATTATTTTTGACCATGCTATCCTCTTGCTAACTGCATACCAGTTTTCTAGAAGACTTACCATTTATTTCAATGCATCTCATCATAATTTTTTTCAGATATGCTGCTGCAGTCAATTCATGATTTCTAATTTTGGTTTCGGTCCCAAGCTGTAGCACAGTTAGGATATGTAACGGGTATCTCTCCTTCTGAACCTGCTTCATCAAGGTTATTACAACCTTGAATACAGAAAGGAAAATAAGTTCATTATTTCAGTAAAGCTGTTCAGATAATATAACATGCAGTTATAACTGGATATTATCTCCTCAGCTAAGCTTCAAAAGTAGTATTAATCTAGACATTTTGCCTTTTTACAGAGAGAAATTACAACACCAGTTTTTGCCCCCTTCCCTCTGTTCATCTTGGCCAAGCAACCAATCACTTAAGTCATTCAACAACAAAACAAAAATCTCAAGTCTGTTAATTTGGCTAGAATTTATTTTTGTTGGCCTACCAGTATATCTTTACCTCATCAAGCTGTGCTGTAGTTTTGTAATCAGACACTACAGTGCTACATACAGAGTCTGAATATGGAAAAAACAGTTACTGTAAGTGGTACTGGTCTGGAATGAAGGGCAGTAAAGAACAAATAGCAATGTAAATCAATCTTTGAGTATCTGGTGCTATGCGAATTATAATTAAGGACACAGAAGTGTTTCAACATTACAATTCTTCATATAGAGAAGATTTTAAGCATTACACTGATTAGAATGCTGAAAGTGAGAATACACTTGTGTTTCTAAATGTAGTTGTAAATTTAAGTAGCAGAACTAGACATAGTTATTAACGAACAATGTTAATTTCAATGCAATTATTTCATGAGGCAATTGCCTCCCATTCTTGGGAACTCAACCTAACCATTTGCCACACAAGGAATTTAAAGAATTCAAGTTTGTCAACACTTTGTCTGCATTATTATGTGGCATACTCTTTGTAAACTTAACAACTTCGCATTTTATCATTAATCACCCAACAAATACAGTCCCCAGGCAATGTGGCCTCTACCTTAGTAAAAAATTTCCATGTAAAACATGCGTAAAACTGTATTAAACAAGACAGAATTGTTCATAAGATATTTAAATAAGACAACACGAAGCACTAGGGGCTAGCCGGTAATACGCACCAGTCCTACTATTAAAAAAAAACTTTACAGCCAAGACAGCAAATCTGAAAGTTAGAAGCTGCCAAAGGTACTAGTTCTAGCTTAACTATTTCAGCTGGTGTGTTATTACAAGAATCATATGCAGTGTTATGAAGGATTAAGGCTACGTGAATGTAGAACATCTAAAAGAAGTCTAGTTTTCCCTGTTAGATGTATCGTGTACGTTAAACATTCTATAAGTATAACCTCACATAATACAGACAAAATAAAACAGCTAAAGAAACAGCTGAAGAATCTGGATTCTGGGGGTTCAGTAACAATAAGTTTTACAGATAGATACAGACAGATACATACCTCTTTGATTTCAAAATTAAGTAGCATATTGATTACATCTTCATTCAATGTTCTTTTTCCTTTTTCGGGCAGCATTCCTTCTGGTACACTCTTATCCTGCATCAAAAGCGATTTCTCCATTTCTTTGGTTTTACCTGAAGCATTCAATAAATTGGTTAGCTTTTGAAATCGCCACCATTTGTTTAGGTCAAGAAACGTATCAGATTCTTTTATTCATTTAGATGGCTTACATTCACCTAAGATATGATAGCAACATTTCCACAAGCAGAGCCTTTAACTTCAGAGCACGCAAAGGAAACAGAAACATGTTCTGGCAACAAGACTATTCTGACATCTTGATTCCTTGCTACTGCTGTGACAATTTGGCTAAAACGATTACCAAATTTTGTCTTCTAATGTTTCCACTTTTTTTTGAAGTATTAAAGTATGAACACTACCCTTGCAAAATTAAAGTTTATCACCTGCACATCATACTCTCAGATCTAAGTTTACTCTCCAGATAATAAATGCTTTTCATTATTCCTCAAAGTTAACACACTTAATATTCATGACAAACAAATTCCATCTCTGACCTTCCTTTTGCAGTACTGATTTTGCATGAGTTTGTGTTTCTTCTGCTTCACCAAGGTTTTCTGTCAACACTTTGAGAAAGACGTTCAAATCCTCTTGACTTAACACAACCTACAAAATTGCACATCACAGTTCTCAGGAAAAACACATTGTTCTTTAAACTTATCACTAGCTAGCAAAGCAGAACAATGTTTCCTGACAAGAAGAGTGTTTATTTACACCTGTTTTGTCAGCAGCATTGTCCCTTAAGTAACACAATGAAATTCTTTTAACTGCTTACTGTTAAAGGATTAGCAGATTAAAGAAGGTTATGACTTGTAAAGCTGTTTATTTAGCATATCTATGCTTTTAATACTTTCCTGTAAGTGACATGCTACTTCATGGTATTTTAATTCCAGTTTCACTCAAGACATAGTCTTACGCAGTATGTAATTTGCCACAAAAAACAACATTCAAGAGAGACACGAAGTTACAAAGCTAGTGTTACTAAGGCAAATGTCTGCATAAATTTAAGTTCCTCTCAAGAAGATTCTGGTTTTTCATTTTTGTTTGTTTGTGGGGTTGGTCTCTTTTTTTTTTTTAAAAAAAAAAAAAAGCACTGAATAAAGACTTGCTTAGAGAACCAATCCCAAAAACATTCAATTTAAGTTGGTCCTGCCTTATAGCAGTCCATAAACAGGACTCCTTGACATCCCTTTCAGTTTTCTCTTTTCTTTCTCTCAGTTTAATGAATGTACACAGCAGTTTGAGTGTTTTATATGACACTTTCAAAACTCTACATTCACACAGGTAGGTTAAGCCCTATTGACATCCCTGAAACTCACTCTACAACTACTGAAAATTAGCAGCTTGTTGCACCTTTGTGTCCAGAAATAACATAAAGGTTAGTCTTACATTAAGTGTTATCATGAGCTTCTCACCACCTCCTTTTCACAAGACTTACATTCATTGTATCCAGGTAACCCGTGACCTCCAATACCGGTAATTTGTAAAACCAAGCTGCAGACAGATTTCGTTTCACAGACAGGCTTAAATTAATAGGGTGAAGTATCTGAATGTCTGGATGTGACAAACCTGTCTCCATAGTGATCCTTAAAACAAAGGGGGAAAAAACAAAAGAAGACTCTTGGTGAGGAAGTTAGAAGTTAAGTCATATGCTACACTTCCGAAGTAACATCTTAAAATCTCAAGTGTAATATCTCTTTAGGCTTAAATGGCTTCTTGAGCAGAACAGTATCTTATTTTACTACTGATTTATTTGCTCTTAAGAAAACAGGTTAGTATTTTAACACCAAATATTTGACACTGTCACCAACCATGGTTTCTTAGCAAGTAGGTTAATATCCTATAGAGTTTTAATATTACCAATTAGCTAAAGCATTACTTAAGTGCACTTTACCTAGATAGTTTCAGCTTTGTCAGCTGCACATCCATTTTATCAATGACTGGAGGGAGCGAACTGCCTTCTGGAGACACCAAGCTAAACTGATTCTGAACCTTAATCAAGCCAAGATCTATTACTACAGCATTGGGGGAAACTGAGGACTGAGGAATGACAATAACTGGTGCTTTCAAGTGAATGTCCATTGCAAGTCGAAAACTCCTTTGAGCCAGGTCTTTTACACTGGTAGCAGCCTTTTCTGCAGCTTGGACTGTAGCAGCACTCAGTGCCTCCTTAGCTGTCTGAAAGTTGTTCAAGAAGGTCTAGAATAAGCAATTGAAAAGAAAAGAGAAATGTCTGTAAACAGGTTTTTAATCTAACTTACTCTCTCATTTTACAACATCAACTACAACCAACATCAAACACCAATTACACCACCTATTGCGTAAAATTTTTCCTGGGGAAAGATAACTGAGTACCTTCTGTAATGATTTCTAATAGTGGGTCAAAAACATACTAACCCGTACAATCCACTCATTTTAAACCCATCTCTCATTTTTATTCCTTCATTAGCTACAATATTCCTTTACCTCATTAGCTTTTGGGGAGACATTATTTTTAGAGCCCCTCTTTACACCCAGTGAATACTAATCCTATTAAAGCCAGCACTGAATGACAGAAAGCCCACTAGTGCTTTAATGAAAAAGCCAACATTAGGACACTTGACGGAGGCAAAAATATTTACAGTGATTAATTTTACAGTCCTCATAGCATCTAACCTTGCAGAAAGTTTTGCCTCTAATGTTAGCTCAGGTATGTTTGCAATGAACTCAGGTTTTTGCCAGGGTGGAGAATGCAGGGAATGCAAAACCGGTAAAATACCTTAATAGTACTGAGCTTTTGTCTATCTCCAAACCAGAGCGTGGAAAGTGACCCACTTGCATCGTGTTAATTTTTTTAAATTCAAGCCAGTTAAAACTAAAAGTTTCTTAATAGTACACATGAAAAATTAAGTCTATCCTTCCTCTTTCAGAAACTTAAGTTATCCCTTGTACTGAGGACAGAAACAAGGAAGATTAATTTGAGAAGGCAGCAGAAACATACAAAGGAAACAAGACTTACCAGAAGAGACATAAGAAATTTGTGAAGGTATACTATTTGAATACAGCCTACTTTCAAAGATACGGTACCATCCACTTTTGACATGTCAGTGTAGGCTTCTCCCTCAGTAGCATATGGATCTAATGTCAGATTGAAACTGAAAACTTCATCTCCTACTATAGACACAGCCTAGAAAGAGAGAAGGAGTACCACCAGCCATCAGCAGCTTCTAAAAAGGTACTTCACACACAGAAGAACAAAATATATTGTCAGCCTATCAGATGTAAAAGTTAGATATGTTTCTTTTTTAAGATGTTTTTGGACATCCATTCTTCTAATATGAAAACTATGCTTTACTGTGAATACCTCGTTTCTTATTCAAAACGAGGTATTAATGACAAATAAAATACTTTTAGAGGAGTGAAACAGAATATGTATTTGTCGTGGTTTGGCCTCAGCCAGCAACAAAGAACCACGCAGCCGCTCACACAACTCCCACAGTCGTGGAAAAAGAAAATGACAGGGCCAAACTCGTGGGTTAAAAGAGTGCAATTTAACAGAACAGCAAAAGGAAAAGACGAAAACGCGATTACGGTACCGCCGCGCAGCGCACCGACCGGACCCGCACCGCCGCAGCCCACCCCCGAGTGGCGACTCCTCTCCTCGCCCCGGCAGCGCCTCTTATAGCCCGGGCAGGGGTCACGTGGGATGGAATACCTGCCCCCTGCCGGCTCCTGGGGAGATTAACCCCATCCCTGCCGCAACCAGGACATTATTACATTTCACTTTTATACACACAAAACTAAACAAGAAACAAGTAAAACTTAAAAATCTTTTAGTTGAGTACTTTTTTATGAAGGGTCCTTGAATCAACATCTGTGACAACTATGTCTTTAAGTCGGGCAAAGAATACAGTGTGACTTGGCTGAAGGAGAAGAGATGAGTCAAGACCTGTAAAGTATAAAGAGAGAAACTGTAGCATTGCATAACAGAAGTTAACACTCGTTTTCGGGAGTGGAAACAGGACACCAGTAGGGGAAGTAAGAAAAATTACAGAAGTTATACATTCCAACAAACAATTATTTTGTTAAATTCAACAACAATTTAAAATACCCACAAAAAATAAACATATTTGATCCTCTCTGTTTCTAAATTAGTCAGTTACCACATCCCTTGCCAAAGTGACTGTAATCAAAGAACTCTATTCAATCCCAAGCATTTTAGTCTCCCTGTAACCGAATCAGAATATTTAGAAGTAATTCCCTAACTACTGTAACTTCTCCAAAATAAAAAAAGTATTGTAAATTCTGGCAATAGAGAGTTGTTGCATTTTATGAGTCAGACACAGAAGATAAGCATATTGTCGAGAGTTCAAACCCAAGTCCATACACTATGCTGTCTGTTATTACACTTTGAGAATGTGACCATGCTACGGCTTTGAACAAAACAGAAGAGAAAAATTTCTAAATTTCTCAATATCAATTATCACCGGAAAGAAATGAGCTACTATTCATGGCAAAATACTCAAACAATAATCTGTCTCTTAATACCCAAGCTATTGAGTTAGTTTACTAAGATTTTTTAACAAAAAAGAAATCGTAACTATACTGTATTTGAATACAATGCTTTTGCATACAAAATCTTGTGTGAATACATCATATGATTCAGAGACTGGCACAAGAAAGAGGCTTTTTATGAGCTGTATTACATACTCTTGTATATCACACATTATTAACTATTCATACCAAGAGAGAGTTTTGACAGCTATTAGGATGGCAGCTATCACCCAACTTGGAAGTGAAGCTTCCCCCCCCAGACACACAGAATTATTGATAGCCCCTTTGAAGGGTAAAAAAGAATCAAGAAAAAAAAAAACAAAATAAAGAACCGAAACAAACTCTAAGAGTTCAAAACGAAAGAAAACAGTTTTAGGGTTTTTTTTAATCATAAATCATTCAGGTATAACAGAAAAATATCAAAGCTTAGTACAACATGAAAAGCCACCCATAATCAAACTCCTTCAAAACATGAACCTAATTACCTGAAGAATAATATATCATGCTTTTCTAGCTGGAGGCCAAAACATTATGACAGACTAGTAGACTGACTTTGAAAACAACACCACAAGCCATGTTTGTACAGATAACAATAAAAGTCAGATGCTGAAAATTTACACCTTAAATATCTTTTAGTCCAAATATTAGCAGCTGCTTTAAACTAAACTACTAGATCAGTTACTACTAACAAAGAATTTAATACCTTGTATCTTGATCTCTGCAATGTTCTTTTTTTCATCACAAATATTTAAACAGAAGGCATCCAGCTTGGCAAAAAGCTTGAAGTCAAAGACATCCTTATCCTTGGAAGGTCTAGCCACTAGAAATGAGAGAAGGGGGGGATTTTCGCGATACATATAATTCATATTTTCACTTAAACTCCTGAGAGTATTTGAGGGTTGTTTCGGTCTAGGGTGGGGTTGGGTTTTTTTTTGGTATTCAGATGACTTAGTTTTGTTTCCTATAGTTTCTTTCATCACTACTACCATGATTAAGTCTTTAACTTAGAGCAACAAGTCTTCCTCTGAAGGCAACTCTACTAATAAGAATAAAACATGTCAGCATTTGCTTCTAATTCTATGTCTGATATTACTTGCATCTAGTGATGACTCTCTATTGGAACAAGTTTACTTTTATAAAATGAAGGGTAATTGCTGGGTTAAGAGGAAATAAATTGCACAGTATACTTAGTATAAAATTAAGTCAATAACTCAATATGTTCTCAGTAGTTTTTGGGTTTTTTTCAGGTTACCTATTATTTCTTATTCCAAGATACTAATATAGGAAGTTTTCTCTTAAAGATCAAGCTTATAAGACATGGCAAACCTTGGAAGCCTATTTCAGGCAGCCAACACCCAGGTTTTATGAGAACAAGTGTTAAGACTGAGGAGAGTAAGGTGAAGTCACACACAAGTGTCAAAAACTATCTAGGGGGGAAGACCAAAAGCCATCAGACCTCACTGACGGTCTACACATTTACTAACCAAGAGTAGCAAAGTGTTAATTCAGCTCAAATATCTATGGGCTTTGTTAAACTGTTCAAAGCAGCAGCTTCTTTTTCAGCTTGCAGACTGAAACTCAGGCCATTTAAAGTTATAAGTGATTCTGAACATTCTTCACTAGACACTCCATTTCCAGCTCACTTGATGCTTGAGTTTTGCACTTAGTATTAAAGACACTGCAGCTGCTCCTCTCTGAGCCTATTTTGATACAAATTCATTTTGTGTTTCAGTGCTACAGGAACAGCAAGATTTTTCATTAGGCTAGCAAAGGACTCAACTATTTCTTCGAAAGTATATTTAAATTGCCTAGATCAATAACATGGCATAATCAAAGTACTATACATCTCCTTTATTTTAGCATGAACACTAAGATCATGCTGCTGTTCAAGTCGTCTAAGCTTGCAGAACTCTCATTTACTCAAATTCAAATCTATTTGTGAAATGGCAAGGAAACACAGGAATAGAAAGCTCACCTGAAGACCCCATTTATAATCATAATCATTGTTTCATGTATTGTTTTTTTGAAATCAGTCCTCCAGCCTGGTGAGCCGCAGTCACGTGAGCTCTGATCTTCACCTCACACTACAAAGCTAATCAGGTTTCTCTGGATTTGATTGTTTTGCCAGCATCAAACACATCCTTTCAGAAGCATCATTTTGACAAACACAACAGTACCTTTCTTCCATTTAGCGTCATCTTCCTGCTTTTCACCTTTAGTTGATGTCTTTCCACTACTTTCGCTGCCTGATGGACTAACAGCTGTCAGAAAACTGACAGCAGACATAAGGGCCTCTGTATGCAGTAGAAGGTTCAATGATGAAAAAGCTACCTGTTGAAAACACGAGACTCCATGTGACAAAAAATGACTTAAAAGTGTAGAAGTTGGACTTACATGCAAAAGCACCCTTTCTTAGAAATGGAAAAGCTGCATGTGTTACCAGCAACAGATCATAAAGAAAAAAAAGCTTTCTATAAAGCAGAAAAGTGGTAAGCTTAGAAAATAAGAAAACCTAACACCACCACAATAGCTGTGACTGTTAACCTATAACCTCCTCAGTACAAAAGCAAAGTGATTCAAAGTTAATTTAGAAGCATTAAATAAGTGAAAAACTCATCGTGAAAAACTGCATTAAAAAAATGGATAACTTAATTAGATGACTAAGAGAGATACACCTGGAGTAAGGTAGTCTAACCTAAACCAGGATTCAGTCTTCTCAAGCAACATGCTCTGTCAAACACAGACTCACTCTTGAATGCTCCTGCAATAACACAATACTACATGAACAGGTAAGGGGCAGGTGGCTGCCGTTTAGATACTAAGTATAAAGGTATTTCTCAACAAATCCATTAATGGAGCCCTAAAGGTGGATAAGTGCCTGCTGTGTAGTTTAGTGAAAGTTTTCTGCTTGAATGGGCTTGAAATTGGAAAAAGAGCCCAAATGCCTGGGACACAGACAACCCATTGAAGAGTTACAAGGCAACACCTGATCATGTATAGAAATGTGAGCTCTCTTAACATCAGCACTAACCCACAGCATGAAGTCAGTCAACTCAGTATATATATCCACCTCCGTAGCACTGGAGCAGTAGAACTGACATCCCCTGCTGCAGCTTCAGGA